CATTTTACTGCCCCCGCTCTAAGAAATCCTTATTTCCTTTGTAGATATGTCGCAAAATTCAAAATTATTTGCATATCGAAAGCGATATCGTTACACCACACGAGAAATCATGGAAAACATATATAGGGAATATCGGAACGAGACGGAAACAGGTGATAACAACAGAAAAAATGAAGAAAATAACTATTTTCAGAAAATAGAGATACTTCAACCATAACATCAGGTATAACTAAAAGTAAAAACAGAGCAAGATTTAATTTCTATAGATTCTGTAGAATCGTCTGAAGATGAACTCACTTGCGCGGAAGAAGATTTTGTGTCAATGTCGAGCTGTGACAACTTGCAGACAGTCATTACGTCGAGAGGTTGTTACCGTTTTTGCATATTTTTGAAATTATTTCGCTTTAGGCCAATGGGAAGCATTATCTTCGCGAGATTTACTGTTGATTCACTTTTTTTTTGACTTATACTAGCTCAAAAACAGGTTGGTTGAAGAGTTTTTAACCATTATCATAATTTTCAGCGATCATTCGTTATTTTGAAATGGGAGAAAATCGAAATGAAGTTGAAATAAAGAAAATTTTGCTGGAAAATGCCAAGCAGACAATTATCAATGTGTGTGGATACTGTGGAAATGACAATGAAAAGTAATTTACGTGTGTTGATATTTTTTAAATTGTTTTTGGAGAAATTCAATAGCAAATAACATGATATTCAGATGTACTTGCGCGATTGGTTATGTAAATGCTGAATTATGTTTTTCCGATTTAACGGAAAGATTTCAATCATTTATACAATTGAATTCTAAGAAAATATTGCAAACTCGAAATAAAATTTTTCAAGATGAGCCATGCTCGTCTCCAATGGCTGAAGGGATTCTAAAGAAACGACTTCTAAAAGAAATCGAAAACGATAACCAAAGAGTCATTGTACATTTCATGTGTACATTTGATGGCGTAAAGCTGAGGAGAAATGAAAGGCAAACCATTTCGATAAATTTATTTTAAAAGAATGTAGTTTTAGTCGAAAGTGCTGGCCTTTTTCTATTCAATGTTTGGATTTCGAAGATAACGATCGTGCCCGAACTAGCTCGATTATAGTATCGTCTATTTATCTAAGTAAGGTGGACCCGTCTTCATACATTCACGATCGAATCGTAAAGTGGGTGATCAACAGCTTTTCGACGCCGTACCATCATAATGGGATTTGGTATCAAGGAGCTCTTGTTGCTGGCTCGCATGACGATCCCGTGAGTTGATTTTTTTTCCTTTAAAAATTCCCATTTGTAGGCTAGAAGAAAGGTATATGGCTTAAAGGGTCATTCGTCAAAGGGGGCCTGTGTATTCTGTTTAAACCAATCAACTTTTGTGAAAATCAATGATGAGAGCGTCAAAGGTCTGTTACTTTTATGATTCTAAAACAACTAAATGTAGACCGTCACGAGTATGGGGTCCGAGTACCTCTTAATTTGGAAGACGGATTAATGCAAAAAGGAAAACACACTTTTTTTAATTCGATTATTCCAATGTGGGAGTCGCCAATTGATTCATTTCACTGTTTTGAAGAAGGTATATTCAAAAAAATAATTGAAGGTATTTATAGTTAACTTTCTGTTTTTATATGTTCTTTTCAGAAGTATTCGGAAATGAACGCCGTTATAAAGTATTCGAAGGTTGTCGCTTGATGTTAAACACGAGCATTCGAACACCCTCAAACTTTCGTTCAATTTCTGGACGGATTCATGAAATTACAGGTTGCGAAAGGACTGTGGTAACAAAAGCTATATCATTTCGCAAAAATAATAAGTTTAGATCTTCGAATCATCGCTGGTATCCGCTGCATTAATTGGAAGGCTACCTGCTGATGCTTCACTGATAATCCTCCTATTCCATTGTTTATATCGAACAATAGTATCTCCGATGTCAATCGGTGACAAGAACTTATACGATACGGTGAGTGAGGAGTTAGTTTCATTACAGTCGGCTTTATATTTAGGTATCCAATATTTGCAAATGTATAAAAATAACGCTAAACCGAGTATGTCCCGAATTTTATCGCGGCGCGAAAGTACATGTAAATCAGTTTAAAATTGAAAGCATTCTAAGTGTTTTTTTTTTTCAGCAGATTGTATTCCACTTATCCGAAAACGTTCGAATGTATGGGAGCCCGTATCCGTTCAGTACCCAATCCTCCGAGCACGTATATCACAGTTTGAAACGACTATTATCGTCAGAAATCACAAAGGGAATTGGGCAAAGAATGTTGCGGAAGTATGCTTTATTATAAAATTGTACACCGTAGAAAAATTTTAGTGCTGCAATTTTGCAAGATTTGACGACCGAAGTTCGTGCAAGACTTGATTCGGACCCAACGAGAAAACAACATGATGTGTCTATCGTGAAACTGAGAAAACTGCTATTTCGATATTCGGAGAATGATGATATCGAAAAAACGACAGATGTACCACTGAAGTACTCAATGCTGGCTCAAAAAGGCGATTTGTTTACTGAGAAATACAGCTATCAAGGCTCACACTACTCAATACAAAGAAATATTGCTTCGGATAATAGCGTCGTGATGTTTCGTTGGCGAAATTCACTGCAATATGGCGATGTATTGGGATTTCTCCTCAATGAGAAGTTCGGTGACCGGGTTATTCTACAACCATACATTCTAAATGAAAGGAATCATGTTCACGGTATGTTTTATTTATTGTTCAATCATTCCAAATGTAATGGTACCAGATTCCGCGAAAAAAAGCATTAAAATCATCAAAAGCCGTAAAAAAATATCAGAACTCGTCAAAACCGGCAAAAACCATTATAATTATGGTTACCGCTGTTTGAGTTTTTGGCGAAATCTGCATAGTACCACAATAGAAACTATAGAAACCCTATACTTCCAGATAGAAACTTTATCCCAAAAATTCGCGGCAAAGCCAAACAAAAACAATGTGAGTATTTTTTTAAATTTTGCTATTCTCTAAATTTAGATCGACGTGATCGCCGTATACAACCCTGAAGCTCTTAAAGACGCAGAAATAATTATTCCATCACTGGATGGAAATAGTGGGTTTTTTGTGTTTCGAAAGCATTGAATTTGTATTAAATCTTTTAACAGGAGACATCAACGTCGCCCAAATATTTTTGGAAATTCCGTTCATGAAGGCAGCTCTGAAGCATGTGATAAATACTACAGTCAACAGATTTGTCGATAAGGTATCTTACAATTATTTAAAGTTGCAAAAAATATCTTCAGACAATTCCCAATAACGATCGTGTGAATTATTCAACATCGTTTAAGCCAACTCCGCCGCACGCAACGCTTCCAGTTCGGTTTGTCAACACAGCGATTGGTATGCTCAAATAGCGCGAAAAATGTTTAAAATATGTTTAAATTAATTTCAGCTGTTTTACAAAAGACGGTTACCATCGCTGGAATGGCTGACGAAACGGCGAATTCTACAATCTCCTATTTGGTACACGGTCATATGACCTATCTCCTGTGAGTTTTCACTTTTTTAGTGGGCCTATGCAGATTTTGAAAAGAAACGCAGTAAAAACCTTTTAAAGAAACTCGACAACATTATAAAGATTCGGCTAAACTAGTCTTAATCAGATTTTTCGCGTTTTTCTCCAAAATCTGCACATGCCGAAGACTGCCTCATGATTAATCATTCAAATGAACTTAATTCAGAAACAATTCACGATCGAAAGCGCGAGCAGTGGAAAAAAATGGTTGATGCGCCAACCAAAATTAATTAATTTATTCCTTTTTCTTTTTCATTTTTTTGTCTTTCATATTTTTTTTTAAATAAACAGGTATAGAAATCTTTACATCATATATTTAAAAGCGTTAAAATGCCAAACGAGTAGTGTAAAGTGAAATGGTATACGAAAAAAATCTCAATCGAATACGAAAAAATCCCAATCGAATACGAAAAAATCCTAATCGAATACGAAGAAATCGTTACCGTATATGAAGAATTGTAGTCGTATACGAAGAAATCACAATCATATACGAAGAATTATAATCGTATACGAAGAAATGCCAATCGTATATTAAGAAATCCCAATCGTATTTGGCCGCGTTTGAAGAGCGATATCAGCGTATACGATTGAGCTTTCTTCGTATACGACTCGGAATCATTTACCAGAGTACTTCAATCCCGTCGAAAACGTCTGAAGGCTTCTTGAACGTTGCGTTCGCTCACAAACCAAGCAGAATGGGAACCTTTTATGAGCTGAAGGCCGCAATTTGACTGGAATGGAACAGTGGGTCACTTGCATACCTCAAGGAACTCGCCGACAGAATGCGAAACCGAACATGTGAAATGATCCAAAACTATGGAGAGACTACTAATTATTGAATTTGTTGTGTTCTCGCGTTCAAACTTGTTTTACTTTGGATATTTAGAGCTTTTTCTTGCGTTTTAGTCCTTAAACGAAACGAAGTTGTTCGAAGGCCCGAATTCGGCCCGATTTCAAGTCAAAACTAAAACGGACGATCGCTCTATGGATAAAATAATAAGATTGGTGAAAAACTGTACAAAATATAGAAAAATACAGAAGAAACATGCAAAAATACCGAAAGAAAAGACAAAAAATAGGGGGTGGTGTATCATTTTGATGCGCTTGAAAATCCAACTTTTTCGGGCAGTGCCGATACGGACCAACGGACCATCATGAAAATACGCGTGTGTAGGTTTTCAATGGTCCTGAATTCGAAAATGAAATTTTCTTGTCACCAATATATATGGTTTTCTCAAAACTGCGAAATTTGGGGGGGGGGGTGGCGTATTATTATGCCGCGCACTGTATATCATAATATTTAATATTCGATAAATTGATTTGACTCATTCCAAACATTCTTATCAATCATTATCATTGAAAATTCCGAAAGAGAGCAATGATTTTATCAGTTTTTCAACTCGAAGCCAACACCCTAAACCAATATGCATAATTATAGTTTTGTCTTGTGAATTTATGCAATATTTCAGAATGCGAATTCTTTACATTGGCGTTTTGTTCCTGCATTTTGCATTGGCCGGTAATTTTTTTCTTTTGAAATATGTATCTTTGAAATTCTTATTGTGATTTCAGAAAGCATACAATGCGAAAATGGGGGATTTCCCAATTCTGATGGGATTTGTGATTGTCCGTCGTATTTCAAGGGTATTCACACATCTCATAAATAACAAATATGATTGTTGCAATTTATAGGAGATAATTGTTCTTCAATTGAATGTTTGAACGGAGGATATGTTGATGAAAATGGAGGAAAATTTTGCATATGTCCACCAGGATACCTCGGAATTCATTGTGAAGCCGGTAACATTTTATTTAAACATTAGCCATTGTACATTCTTTGATTTTAATTGAGAGCAAAAATATTTTATCTAAACATATTTCTTCTATTTTCGTATATTGAGCGATTCAACATTTTCAGTGAAACCGTCACCAGCAGCTCACGCGCAGTTCAGAACAATGGATTTCTCGTTGAACATTATGAACTTCAATTTGTACACTCCGTACTGGGGTTTTTTGACATATAACAATATTAAACGAGTGAGATCACACAGCGATTCGCATATTTTGCATTGTTTATAGGCTATTGATGTTGAATTTGTTTCATCTGAATACAAGAAAAAATGGTTATTCGAAACAAAAGGTCGGCCAAGCTTGAACCCAGTATTGAAGGAACCCGATTTTTCTTCTCGTTGAGCTTATTTATGCACTACATAAGCTAATTTTATTTTGATTTCAGTGATTTATATCGATGCAGAAGAAAACAAAAATATTAGTGCTCCTGAATATGCAGGCCTCTACTGGTGCTATCCTGTCAAAATTTACAAAAACATTGTAAAATTCATAAAAAGTTGTCCTTATTGTTTACTTAAAAATATAAATTTATTTACAGAAGCGTCATTGCAGAATAGTGCGATAACAATTATTACGCAGCATCCTCCTAACGACGATAATTTTGAGGAAGCTCGTTCAATGGTTCTCGCTTTTGGAATTAAGGTTAAAATTGCGATTTTTTTTGAGAAATCATTGTTCGGTTTATTCTCAAAAGAAAAACAAATTAATTCTAGTTTTGACTCAAAAGTTTAATGCATAATTTTGGGAGAGAACGTCGTTCTTACTTGTTAACTGTCCTGACATGAATTCAATTAATTTTGTTTTAAAAATTTAGATAAATGTTCTTTGGATTCCTGATGACACCTTCAACCCATGTACTTCCCCAGAGGTATTCCGAGGATCTCAATAGAACTTCATTAAAGCCCTACAAACTTTCAGGTGGACCATTTTAGGAATTTCGCCGAAAATAGCGGTGGAATATTTGCCAAATTACAAACGTCGGATAAAGAGGATTCAAACACAGAAACGGTGGGAAATAACTTAAAATAATTGAAATTGAAATCGAATGTTTAGATTGTCCGACAAATTTTAATGACACATCGAAATCCGCAATATTTTGCATTGAAACGTTTCAATAAATGCAGTGAAGGAGCTGTTGATTTCCAGCCGGATCCAAATATCGCCGGACCATATTACTTGACATTATTTGGAGGTGAGAATATCCATGAAATGGATATCAAGACTATTGGCATTTGTAACAGATTACATTCAGAAAATAATATCGTTTCCTAAAAAAAGAAAAATTTCAAATGTGGTACAAAAATGGACTAAGGCCAAATTTGAGATGCCAAATTGAGCTAAAATGACAAATCGAGCCGGCATCTTTTAAAAACAATACCCCATTTTGCCAAATTGGGCGTGGGAATGAAATTAAAAATGATTGATCCCACCACTTCCCAAATAATTTTCTCATCTTGTCAAAAATATTTTTAGGTCCGTTCACCAACATGCCATAAAATGCGAGATTTCAATTTATTTTATAATTTTAGGGTTTTTTCTTGTAGGAATTAGATACAGGGTGGCTGAAAATTACCCGGACTAAAATTTCGAGCCTTCGTGAGGCGCACTGGTGCTTTTTCAGCGCAATGTTTTTTTTTTAATTTTTTTAATTAGCAATGTTTTTTTACTATCTCTCAAATTTTCATGATAATTGATTCGGTTTTAGCAAAATGGCGAAGCAAAATGTAAACCGACCCGCAATTATCGCATTACACAAGTCCGGAATAGGCACGTATGCAATTTGGAAGCATCTGAGAATTCCGAAAAGCACCGTCTACGATGCGATTTCTCGTTTCAAGGATCTTGGCACAATCCAGGACCGTGCAGGCAGAGGAAGAAAAACTATGGTGACGACTTCTTCGAACTTTAAGATCGTCCGAGACAGAATCAGACGAAATGCTCATCAGGGCATCAAAAAGATGGCTTCCGCCCTGAATATGTCACGAGCTTCAATGACAACCATTGTCAAAAAGAAGCTTAAGTTGACTCCTTTTCGTGTCAGAAAAGCGGCCATCCTTTCTCAATCCAACAAGCTCAAACGGCACCAAAAGCGAAAACTCCTTTTGGCGGGCGCGCGATTCATCGTACGTCACACTCCGTGCCATCTGCTCCAATGGCAAATATCCTCTGATTTTCGTGGAAAATGGTGTCAAAATCGACAAGTACTACTATATCAATGAGATCCTGAAGAAGAACTTGCTTCGTTGGGCCCAAAAGCACTTTGGTGGACAACGATGGGTGTTCCAGCAGGACGGGGCGCCAGCTCATACTGCAAAGTTTACACAGGAGTGGTGCGCCAACAATTTCCCCTCCTTCATCAAGTCAAAAGAATGGCCCGCCTCGTCTCCTGAAATTAATCCGTTGGACTATTCCGAATGGGGCTCTTACAGAGTAAGGTCCTTGCTAGGCCCTACCCGAATTTGGACTATCTAAAGAAAGCGCTGGTCGAGGAATGGGACAAATTGTCGGTTGAATACCTGCGCGCCACGGTCTACGCATATCCAAAGCGTCTTCGCGCCGTCATCAGAAACCACGGAGATCGAATCGGACAACGATAATCTACTTATGTTTGTTATTGGAAAAATAAACTAAATATGAAATTTGAGTGTGTTTGAACAATTATTCAATGAAATACATTGGTTTTCATATAGTCCGGGTAATTTTCAGCCACCCTGTAATTCCAAAAATATACAAGAGTTGGTTTTTTTTAATTTAATATGATTCAAGCAGTTCGTTTTGCTCCAAGCTAACATTTTTTTGTAATATTAATTTGATATTCACATCATCTGTTTTCAAGCTCAGAAATCATTGGGCAAAACGAGGCGTTGTTGGTGCAAACATGCCGCCCATTTGCAATTTCAGCCAATTTCGTTAATTGGCATTCCCGTGGCCTTCTTTCGCAGGTCCCATTCGGCAGGTCCCATCCGTTCCAAATGAAACTTTTTGAATGCGAACCGAAACATCTTGCAATGCGCTATGTTTTTAGAAAGTGTCACAATCACACCCGACACATTCTCTGGATGCCAATTATCGAATCCAGCGATTTCTTATGACAGAACTATGAGAACTTTTCAAACGACGGGAGTTGCTTGCTCAGTTAAAACGAAATCTTCGTCTTCCTGTTCATTAATGGTAAATTTCCAAATACATTTGAACATCGTTTAATGAATCCCTGCAGATTTTCGCTTCTTCTAAGGATTCTGGTGTTAACATTTATTCTACATATCTCGAAAATAAACAATTAGATTCGTCAAGATATGCAATGATTGAAGGTATAAAATTATAATGATGCTATGTAAAATTCGCAAAAAATTAAAAAAAAACGCTAACAATAGTTTTGAAAATCTGTAAAAACCATAGTTAAATCCAGTTTTTCGTGTTTTTCTCTAAAAATGGCACGCCCATAATCCGTGGCTCGTGAAAGTGGCTCATAATTTTTGACTTGTGCTTTCCCGCCCATTTTCAGGAATACACAATTTCAGAGAATGTTCCTTGCGATATATTAGATCGCTAGTATCATTTTTGCAATTTTTAAAAATGTTGGGCTCGGACTCTTTTGGACCTTTCTATAACACTTTTGACAGCTTATATGAACACTGTTCCTCAAATGTTTAACCGATATTTTCTTCAAAAAATGACGTTTTCAAAAATTTTCAAAAAAAAAATGCTTTTATTGTTAAAATATGGCCTAAATGGGTTCTTTTTAATTTTTTATTTTATATTCCGAAAATTGTGTTTTGGCAATCCTCTTTTAATTGGGAAAAAGTCGACCAACAACTGATTGACAATCCCAATTTATCGATCGACACTCGACTCTTCCAAGTGGCACGCAATCAGGAAATGCCATCCGAATGTTAAACCAATTTTCTGTTATGATATTGTTGTTATTTTCTGTTTTTTTTTTTGTTGAGCAGTGTAGTAACATTTTCCTGTATGCTCGGTTCATTTTACCAAATTTTGAAAAATCAAAATGAGCTAGAAGCCAAAAATTATAAGCCACAAAAAATATAGTAAGTACGAGCCATTTTCACAAGAGAAAAATCGCGAGTCTTTCATCTGCATAGTATATTATTGTATGCAATAAAATGCAGACGTTTGTATTCATATCTAAAATATTTAGGAGTTGATATGTACCAAGGATTTCATTTCGAATCAATCAACAAATCGGAAACAGTAAGTTCTGAACTATTCGCAAATATTGGGGGGCCTGTTATGAAGAATTGAAGGCATTGGTCTCGTTTTCGACTTTGTATATATGTAGATAATTTCTTGTTTAAAAAATTAGTAGAATTGAAATGATATTGAGACAATAATTGTCTAAAACAGAACAAGTCATTCGAACAAGTCACTATCCTCGTAATTTAATTAATTCAATTGTTTTTAATTGTTTAGGTAACTTTGAAAAATGTTAGGGCAATTACACAAGAACCAAATATAAAACACCGCGATCTCGCTGCATTTGAATGGTTAACAACGGTAAGCATTTTAAGAACTGAAGGATTTTAAAAGAATCAACAATAACTGAATAGGAAAAATCGACTTGTACCGTTGGAGATCCGTTATATTTTGAATTTGATATTCAAATTGGCGACAGATCATCAACTCGAGCAATTCGCGCTCCTTGCATTCCAGGTTTTCTTTTCTTCCTTTTTATTTCACAATTTGTTCTTTTTATATGTAGTGCCGATTCCGACATCAACTACACTAACGGGTGAATCGTTGTGTATTGAAAATCAATTTTAAAAAAAGTATTGCAGAAAATTCAAGCTCCTCCATCGCTTTAAGCTCTTCAACGGAAGCAATTGTCTCGACTTCCACGGCTTCTGCCGCTTCCTCTACTTCATCTGTTGTACCAACAACACGTAGGATTTCGTATTTCATTACTATTCATAGCTATTCTACATACATTTAATATATTAATAATTACAAATATCGACATTCAGCCAACTGTCAAGGAAGCTTGGAAACAAAATCACAATTCTATTTCGGTTATGCGACCGATTCAGACAAAATTACATATAATAACATAAAGAACAATTTGCTGCAAATTTTGGAAAACATGAGTGGAATAGCAGAATTTACAACGTTTTATGATCAACGATTGGATGCAAAAGAAGAACAAAATAAACTGAACAGTACGAGCACATTGACGTGAGTCTCATTACTAGTTTGGTTTTTAATATATGTATTTGTTTCAGAGGATACGATATTCAATTGACAACATTTAACGTAGTCAATGAAAATTTTGCTATACCATCAAGTACTCCATCCGATGTTATAAGTCAACTTGAGGTGTTTTGCTTTTGATTTCTTTTAACATTTTAATTTTAAATTATTTAGAATTTCATCAATTTCGTGAATATATCAGAACACTCCTATATATTATTGCTACTCAATCGACTGCCTTCCTCGAATTCCTTGCTGAAACCAGACACGTATCAGAAATTAACCGCAAAAAATATTCGGGTAATAATGAAAAAAAAAACAAATCATTTTTCATTAAAAAACGAGAATTTCTAATATGATACGAGATTTTAATTGAGTGCGATTTTTTTTGAGTTTGAGTTTGAATTTTACAATTAAAACGAATTTTGGAACAGTTTGTCCGGAGGAGCTGCGAGCAGTCGATCGTCCTCAACATCTGGGCGAACGTTACCTTGTGTTTGCCCCTTTTCGCTTCTAGATTGCTTAATTGGTCCCTTACCAGCGAATGAACTGTCTCAAAATTTGTTCTTAATTTGAAAATAATCGTTTTATGCAAAAAATTCTCAATTGCACCAACTTTAATATTTTTTAAGGTTATCAGCGTGCTTAGTATTGGAAGTCTTATTGCTCAAAAGGATTATCTGATTAATCGCGGATCTAGCGAACTCAACAAAATTGCCGCAATGACACACGGGCATTATATTTTAGCGAATGAATCAATTCGATCAACCAACTATGGTGTTACATCAGAATTAATTGAGGTAATTCTATAGAATTTGTAGTATTAATAGTTAGAGTTGGTAATACTAGATTGTTAGCCGAATTGCCGATTCGTCGATTGGACAAGAGCTCATTCTTGCTGGCAATGTACTCTCTACATCGATTCATTCAACCCTCGGATCAATGATTTCTCCACATTCCAACATTACTGTGTCGCTTTCCTTATCAGCCGGAGACAGTAAAAATGTGTTTTGAAGCAAAAAATCGTAGATATAAATTCAGCAAGCGTCCCTTCGATGCCGAGCGTACTTCGAATCGCATTTGCGCCTGAAAATGGTACTTCAGTAACTCACGATTTTCTGGCAAATGCACAATACGTAAGTAAAATCATTGACTGGAAACCATCAAAAATCATTTAAAAACTTTAATATTTCTCAAATAGAATTGAATTTTGTGTTTTTCAGAAATCCTCGAATTACTATAGCGCAGACTTGACACTGGTCCCTGGCACAAAATATATTGTTAGATTGATTTACGCTGCGAGTGGAGACAATGATCTTCTTCTGAGGGTTTGGGGTCCCAAGTAAAGGATTTCTATTATCAGAGTTAATCTGTTAACCACCTCGTATCATTTTTAATTTAGATTGACTTCACAATCGGCGGGATTTGTTCACGTGGATGGAAAAGAAGAGAATCCTGATACAATAAATGGAGCTGGTCTGAAATTTAAAATAAAAGATGAATGTGTTTCAGAGGTAAAATCCAATAAATTGTTTTAAAATCTCGTTACCTCAGGCATCCATTCGTATTACTGACTGCAGCGGGAATGTTGGCACAAAATATGATGCGGAGCAATATGCGAAACGAAATGATACAGAAAACTGGCAATATTGGTTCGTTCCCTATTTCTGTGACAACATTCCTCAAAACGATTGCGTTAAAGGAACAGAAGGAAAATATGATATTCAAGTAAGCTCAGAAAAATGATAATTGTCGCAACATCTGCTCCCGTCCAGACGCCAGCACCCGAACTGCATTTACCATTTCGGGTTGCTCATCTGCTCGGGAGAGTCGTGCAGAATTTGCGAAGACGTTCAGCAGACTATTATTATGTAGAAACTGCGTTGAATCTGCTGAAGTTCTGCCCAAAGTCTGCACGATTTTCGCATATGCGTGTTGTAAATTTAGGAAAATCAAATACATGCATCAAAATGAGTCAATTTTAGAAAATGAAATAAAAATTATCAATGATAGCCTACAATAAAGGGTTTTGACAGTGAGCTATCGCGATAGAGCAAGAAATTTATTTTTTCAATTAGCTACAATTTGTTTAGCTGACTTTTTCAAGATCTGACTTCAAGTCATGCGCATCGCGATAAGGCTAAAAAGGGATGAAAATTGCAAAATCAAAAAACGTTGAAAGTGAAAAAAAATTCTTATCAACGTCTTAATTGTTATTTTCGAAGAAATCAAGAATATATTTTTTAAATGTAATGTCGGCTTGGGGGGGGCTGATGTAGATTTACTGGTGCACCTTTCGAAATGGTCTCGCCACACATGAAGCGAAGACGTATGTGTGTACTGTGGTCGCCGGACGCACATTATATAATTCTTTATAATATAATGTTTACAGATTTCTGTTGGAAATAAATATCAATTCACTAGATCTTTTGTTTGTGCCGAATCTAAAAGCAGTCCCGAATATAATTGCCGAAACAAAGATGCATTAGGAAACTATCAATGCGCCCAAAATGTTGCTCCGTTCAAACGTGGCCCAACTGGAAAACTTACCGATTGCTCTGGGCATGGCCGTCTCGTATTCAACAATATTTACGAATTTAAATGTGAATGTGATGATAGTTTCAGTGGAGATTCATGTGAAATCGGTACCCCTTTTTGATTAATTTTATCAAATCCAATGAATTAAGGAAGTTGCTCCTCTACTCAAACCGATTTTCTCTCGATCGACACTAAATACAGAACATATACTGTTATCGTTGGAGTTGCAAACAATTATATAGAGATATCTCTAGAAGATGCTAAAAACGTATTTCAAATTTCTAACGATAATAATAATAATATATGGAAATACCAACTGATTGTCTACTGTAACCTCGATCAAGGTTTGTTGTGAAAATTCTCCCTAGATCTGTTTTCACTATATCATTGTTTTTTAAATCAAATAATCATCTTTAATATTTATGAATCACTTTAATCAAACGATTACGTTTAATTTGACTTTTCAGTCGAGGTTTTATATTCCGGCGGGGATATCGCCAAATTTAACAAAGCATTTGAAACGAGACAAGCCGATATGTTTATCCAATGCAAAGAAAATGATAATACATTCGACTTAACACGTATTTACAACATTGGAATTCAAGGTTTTTTTGGTAGAAATCTGCGAAATTTGAATAAAATGAACGATTTAGGTGTCGGAAATAATGTCAATGGACTTCTCGCATTTTTCACGGAAGAGCCGAAATATGTGAATGTTAGCCTCAATGAGTTCATCCAAGTATCACAGACATATAAACAACAGGTATTCATTTTGCATTTTGTATATGGATGTATTATAAACTATTTGAGCTCTTTGTGTTTACCGCTCCAGAATGCGATACTCCTTCACTTTTACCATATTCTGTCGTTCAAGCGACCATGTCAACAGGAGGTTTTGTGATTCAATCGAAAATTGATGAAAATTCGACGAAAATCGAATACATTAATAAGGTGAAACGGATAAATTATTGATTGTTTCCAACGTGTTACTTACCGTTACAGACATTTGAAACGATTTTGAAAGGTGATCGTGCGATCGCTTTTGCCGCTTCTGGTTACAGTGAATCTCAAATCAGTGTCACTCTAGAAGAAGACTCAATTGCATATTTGATGACGTGGAATATGGGAGGCCTAATTTATTTTAGTAAGTTCGTTATACAGTAATATACATTTTCCGTCATAACAAGGAGTGGTCCAATTGAGGTGAAATTTTTACTGGATGTGAAAATGTCTCAAAAAGAAAATTAATAAAACCTCTTACTGTAGATTACAATGTGACGTGAAAATAGACTAGACTTTAAAACTCTCGAAAATTGAAAAAAAGAACCTTTTTTTAATGTACTTTTTAAAATCTAAATTTATTCAGTTTTCTTCCATGTTTGATTGTTCGGAAAGTAACAGAGTACTTTGCGTAAATCGATAATTGTTCCCCATGTATTTCTGTTAGGTTCGATATTTGTCATGCATAGTCGAGAATGTTCTCGAAAGTTTTCAGTGACCCCCCACCCGTAGTTATAAGCCCCCGTAGTTCAACGTGAAGCTCCTATAATGAGTCATCTTTCACATCTGTAACTGAGATCTGAGCTTTGAAGATAAGTCGCGTACGGGTCGCCCACCCACCCTCGACAATGACGCACTGTGTGCTGCCATTAAAGTCAATGCCGAGGCTAGTACGAGGGATCTGAAGAATTCACTTGAGTGCGTAATGTTCACCATCTCGACCCAGCTGCACGTTCTCGGATACCGCAAAGTTCGCTCAATGTGGGTACCGCACGAGCTGACGAACGGCAATCGGCAGGCACGAGTAAACATCTCCCTTTCTCTTCTTCTCCAAGTGTTCCACAAGAGGTTTCGGGAAGATCTGACTACTGGAGATGAAAGCTGGGTCTACTACGACAACACCTCACCTCACTATGTCTACGGAGAAAAGATGAGCCACCGCCGCAGTAAAAACGCAACATAAAAAGAAGTTCCACCTATACATTTTTTGGGTTTCTCAGGGTGTGCTCTTCACGAGGTTCTCAAGTAGGCGCAGACAATCAATGCTTCCACTTACTGTCGCCAACTCGAGAAGCTCGCGCAAGAACAGCAGAAGACTAGGCCAAGAAGGTCGACGGTTTACTACCTCCATGACGAGGCCCGAACACATGTAGCGAAGGAGGATCGCCTCAAGCTGCAGACGCCCGGCTGGCAAGTCGTACCTCATCCCCCCTTACAGCTCGGAGCTTGCCAACTCTGACTACCATCTTTTCCGCCCGTTTAAGCATTTCCTGAAAGCTAGAAAATACCAGAAATCCGATGACCTCATTTCCGCAATTGCATTGTTCATCGAGTCCCAGTTTCACGAGTTTTGGCAGAAGGACGTTCAAACTTTGCTCATCCGTTGGGTTACCGATAACAATAGTGATTATATGGTTGACTTAAAAACTGCTTCTACAATAGCTGAAACTTTCGCAGATTATGAAGTCTGGAAATGAACTAGTATGGTAATGTTTTTCTTCTAACGGTGTCGGCCCTTTCCATAGAATTAAAGGCATAATGAACTAGAATACGTACAAAAACATCTCTTCCGGTTAGGTCAAGAAATTGTTCGGGTAGCGTTGAGTGAACTTTATGAAGTGGCCAAGCCAATCTCCCGACCTGAATCAATATGACGAATCGGGGTGACGAAATTGAAAAACAATAAATTGAGCTGAAAATTTTTCTCAATTAGAGCAATCTTCCGATAGCGACTCTAAACAACTTATGTTAGTGTCTTCCAAAGATGTGCGGCAGTTATTCAAGCAAATGCTATGGTTACTAAACATTAGGTGTATGTATATGTATAAGAACGATATTTGTTGATCTCGATATTTTTCTGTATTGTGCATTTTATGGGTCGATTCAACAGTTGTGGTTCGTTTTTTTTTTCACAATTTTTAATTGGCGCTACATTAATTTAGAAGTGACATATAATGTTTTTCTTTGCAAATTTGTCTCTTTTTATGTTAAATGTTCGTTTAAACGGAAAATTGGCGACTTTGAAAAATGAAATTTGGTTGCAAGTGGCTGCAATATTCCGAGATTCTCGATTTTCTTAATTTTACTAGTAATTGTTTGCGAAAAATGTAGCCAAGACCTACACCAATCGATTTTTTACAGATTTTAAAGAATCTGTAAAAAAAAGTCGCAAAAATGCCTGAAGACATCGCGATAGCACAAAAACCCAAAAATCAAAAAATCACGGGCTCGTCGATCAAAATAGGATATTTTTTTAATGACAAAAGTTCTTTAAGACTTATAATTTTCAGACAGTGCACCACAAGAAAACGCTAATTGTGTGAAAAACGGCAATATAATGGCCTTATGTAAAATAACGGATAAAACTAATTTAGTGGTATCCGAACTGTAATATTCCTCAATAAATAAACTATACAGATAACCAGTTCTCAACCAAGTTCCAATTATTCCGCTGTTGTCTACGTTACTAATGGAGTTGCACCAGTTGCTGAAATAATAAGTGATACAAACGTCGACGCATCAGATGCTGTTTCAACGAGCACTTCGAGTATCTAATTTTTCCGTGATTCTAGTTTTATTAAATTTTAGATACTCGTACGAAATTGGCAGTTTTTATCCCAGATGGTTGGAAAATTGAATCAGGAGACGACGATAGCAGGTACTCAGCGATAAACCGCGAGTTCGCGGCTCCGCCTCTCGCGAATTCGCGCTTTAATATATCCCCCAAAAAAAAACAATAGCAGTAGTCTTGACAAAAAATAAGTGCAGATTGACAGACGTGACTATAAGAATAGGTTAAAGACGCACCGCGCAAACCTCTCCTTAAATTTTTTTGAATTTAGAAAATGTTCGGCGGTAGCGTGATGCCTTCAATAAATTCCCATCAGTCTGCTAAACTTTTAAACATCGAACTTTATTTAACAATGTCTGTTCACGTTTCTTTTTACAGAATCGCAAATCGTTCACAATGCATATTTGATACTACACTTTACAGTGTACTAGCAACGGATAAATACGAAGTTGGGGCTAATCTTGCCAAGGTTTACAATTTTCTAATGAACCTATTCATGCAATTAAAAAATGTTTCAAAATAACACAATTCTCCAATGCAGGATGAAAAATTCAATGGGTACTGTAATTAAATTATCAATAAAAGCCACAATTTCAATGAGAAAATCTGTTGCCGTGCGTCTTTTTTTTGCAATTACGGTATTATTTTTTAGACAAGCATTTTTTAATGATACCTGTAAAAAAAACTTAAGAAAAATAAGAAATATTACAGGAATGTTTATAGATTGAACGAAAAAAAAAAGAAAATTTGAATCAATCAAATAAAAAAATAATACCGTAACTTGGAAAAAAAGACGCACGGCAACAATATGTATATTCTCATATAGGTTTCGCAGATTTTTTCATAATTTAATAACAGAAACCATTTCATTTTTTTCTATCGGTGCATTGTAAAAATGTGTTATTTTTTACAACGCCCTTGTAAGAGCTCTTCATCATTTTTGTTCCACATTATTAATAGACAAATTTGGGTTGTCATTGTTTTAATTCAACTAGTGGATTCCCTCGGGTCTCGTATAGAAAAATCGTAAGAGAAAATTTCGCTTTCCCTAATAGTCTTAAAATGAATGAGTTTTTTTTAGGTCAATACTGAATGGGGGGAAGCTGAATGGGAGGAATGGGAGGAAAACCCTGAATGGGGGAACGTCTATTTTTGTCTCTAACGAGTTTTGCCTAAATCTTACGCGAACTGTTTAAGAAACGGGACCAATTAAAAATTTCACGGTTTCACCTAACATAAGCCTTTTTATTTGAAGAACACATCAAGAAAATAATTACAATTGTTTCTGCTTCATCTTGGAAGGTCTTACGCCTAAAATTCTGAATTTATAAGAGCACTCGAAGTATGTTTTTGTAGTTCAATTCTCGCGACGATTAAGTTTTTTGGCATTTTTCAAATATTCACCTTTTTTCCTCCATTCAGAAATATAATTTTTCAACTTTACCCCCCATTAAGACAAAAATTAGACGTTCCTCCATTCAGCGTTTCCCCCCCCCCCTACCACCCATTCAGTATCTACCCTATTTTATGAGGTTTAAAATATTTTGATGCAACACAATTATAAGAAATGAATGAGCTCATTTTGTTTCATTGAAAACGCAGAAAATGTTTCAAAATCGTTCATCTTACGTTATTCTATTTCAGATCGGATTGAAAAAGGACGGTGTATCTGTCATTAGATATTTCCCAATTGCCACATCTCAAGATGTGAATTGTCAAAATGGAGGAACTCCGCATCACGACACAGGAAGCTGTCATTGTTCAGAAAATTTCACCGGTTCCGACTGCTCGCAAGTAATTTGCGACAAATCAATTAGCGACTGGCATTCAAACGCGTGGAATAATGTGTGTGTATGTCAGAGGGCAGACGACAAACAATGTCACGATACAGTTGGCAGCATGATCAGTCAAGCAAGCTAAGAATCAGTTCATATGCGATAAGCGATAAAAATTTGAAAAAAAAAACGAAATTCGGCTAATGAATTATTAATTATTATGCAATATACTGTCATTCCAGTCAGTCAAATCGAGAAATTAGTTGCGCGACAAAGATTGCGATAATTCTGCACACATTTTCGTCTTCTCGTTTTCGATTTGCTCGATCAAATCTCGTTCAAACTGATTTTTGTGATACCTCCTCAGCATATTATAAGTCATGTCCAAATCTAAAGACGGGTCGTTTTCAAACGCTCGAATTCGATTTTCAAGTCTATCCAAAGCCTCATGAATAGTTAATCGAATACATTTCAGCTCACATAGCAATCTGAAACGTTAAAATTCTTAAATTAGTCGTTGGAGCTCTTACCGTCGTGCCATGGCTAGCCGCACCATTTCATTACGAATAATTTTATAGAAAATGTTTCTAGTTTCGGAGAGAGTTACCACATGTTCAACGGCTCCAACAAACTTCATTCGGTGCCAGGTATCGTGCATATCAGCGAACTTGAGGGCACCTTTTTTGAACATTTGTTTGATTGAATCATTTGTTTGATCCTCCTGAATAGTAGAAGATCTTTTGTTAGTATTAAAATCTTTTGCGAATTTTTCAATAATTTATTTCTGAAAATGGCGGCAAAAAAGAGAATATATCGTTCGCGTCTGCTGTTTTTTTTTTTTTTCAAGTTTCGTAATTTTACGATTTTTTGTAACGGACTGCAATTTTGCTGGACCAGTTGCGGCCGGATAGATACAAATGCAAGATATTCCACAACGACGCATACGCAACGCGGCTAATATAAATGTTATTTATTGCTAGCTTCGAAAGAACAAGCCTGGACAACTTGAAATGCGCGAATCGTATTTCAAACACTGCAAGCATGCCTGTAAATCTATCCAAGCACTGTATTTTCAAAGGGAGTTAATGACGTGCATTTTAAAACAATAAAAAATTGGTACCTTGGAAACTCCACTATTTTCCATTATCGCTTCCAAAACTGGTGAACGAATTTTGAGACTAACAATTGCACTTGGTTCAAGAACGCCGCCACGCGACTCGCGATCGGCGACCAAGTGAACGAATCCGGGATTTATTTGAGAATCTAAAACAGCCCAAGCTCCTCCACGAAGTTCACCGCCCGACGGAATATACACAATTACGGGCTGCGAATATTGCGAAAGCTCATCGATTATATTTGCTCCAAAGTTCAATACGTTCATAGACATGTCTGAAAAAAAAATAATTTAGACTGGCTCTATTTGAAATGATTGTCAAACCTTTCCTTCCTCCGGAGAATCCTCGCAAATTTGCAATTATCACTAATGGTAACCCTTCTTTATTAAAGTCACTGATTGCTTGTGACGTCTTATACGCAGAATCCGGATACCAAACCTGCGCAGATCGTTCAATTTTGGTTGCTTTGCTTGTTTCCAAAGCCTCATCAGCCAACTCTTCAAAAGTAATTGATTTCCACTGAGAAGCAATCACGCCGCACGGCATAGAATGAATTCTCGCCCTTCCGACCACGATCGATTTAGCCCAATTCGGACAAATCTCATCAAAAGAGCCACAATCGAAAATTCCTTCTAAAATTAATTTTCATACGTTTCCACAAATATCACACGACAACGTTTTTCATCAATTCCGTCGATTACTGATCTCACATCGTTTTTCATTTCATCTGGAGAAACTTGTACGGTAGAGTTGGTCTCAGCATTTAGCAGTTCCTCGAAAAAAGGAAACGATGATATCTTAAATTTGTTTTTTTTTAATAGAAACAAACAACAAATAATTTCCCGACTTTTTTTGGTATATACAAGAGCCACTCGACAATTTTTCGGAATCCTTCGAAATCTGAAGAAACAACAGCGTGGGCAATTCCATTGTTTTTCATTACTTCAACACCGCCGATACGATTGTTGGATGCGTAAATCTGGATATAATATCTTATATACATAAATATGAGAAAAATAATTATATTTTGTGACTGAAAAGTGATTACCGGATATTGCCGTTGAGAGACTCAACGCAAAAATTGCGTCCGTTTTTATTACCGTACTCAAAACATTTTTCGAAATTCGAAAACGCCTCAAACACATATATTTAAAAAACCAGGCTCATTGTTCTGAAGTCAGGAATTGTTTAACATTTGAGTAACCTTGACAATTTCGCCTTACGCGACCGAATAGAAAAAAATGTCTAATGTATAGTCGGCGTCAAACGACTGAAGGGAGACGGGGCCTTCAAATTCGCGAAATTAGTGTAGATTTAAATTTTTCGTTGATTGAATATTCAATGAGCGTATACTATGCGATAAACGTAATCTCGCTGCCTCGAAACGCATTGGCAAACAGCCAACAATTTTTTAAACTTCTTCAAGTCGTTTGACTTCGACAATATACAGTACTGGCCATAATGATGTTCGCCTAGTGTTTTTTGAGCATAACTTGGCTCAAACGCGGCCGATCGGGCTGAAATTTTTAGCATATCTTTAAAACGCGTTGAAAATGCGTTTGAATGATATCGCATACTGCAGGAAAGTTTTTTTTTTTCGAAAAATCACAAATTTCATAAAAATGCAGAAAATGGAAAAAATGACACAATGTGATTTGAAAGTCTCAGAAACCCGAAAACGTTACAAATGTGTAGAAAACCGGTTTTTAATTCTTCAATACTTTGTTGCGTATCTCTTGGCATCCATAACCGCGTGGCATCTGCGAGGAATCGAGTCCAAGAGGGAGCGGATCACTGCATCGGAATGGCACCCCATGCGGCTTTGAGTTGAGCGAACTTCTCGTCGGCGTTTGATGCACGGAGCCCTCTAACCATGCGTACCAGTTCTTCCCAGAGATGTTCGATCGGATTATGGTCCGGAATCTGCGATGGCCATGCAACAATATCAAGTCGGCGTCGTTGGAACCAATTCTTTGCATGTCCAAATGTGCTTAGAGTCGTTGTCTTGCTGGAAAACGAATGCACGTCCGACGTTTGCCAATGCCCAAGGTCTCATTGTGGTTTCCAGGATATCCTTGTACTGGTACCGATCCATGATTCCATTTACACGTCGAAGCGGTAACATGGCGGTGTCGGAGAAGCAGTCCCATCCTCTGCAAGATGCTTCACCGTTCGAAGGTGGTACTTTGGCATGAATCTGGCTCCAATAGGTCGACGAATCCACTTGATTTCATCACTTCCGAACAAGTTGAACATCGATTCATCGCTATAAATGTGTTTGGCCCATTCACGTCGTCCCCAGTTCAGATGATCCTTGCACCATGCCACCCTTGTCTTTCGGTTCTTCTCACTGATCAATGGTTTCTTCACCGGGCGTCTTCCATGAAGTCCATTCTCCCCCAAACGACGTCTAATTGTTCTTCTGGATGGCATTGAAGCATTTGGTGTTGCCACAAGAATCTGGATATCTGCTGAAGTCCGTCTAGGATCTTCTCTTGAAGCCCGACAGATGTTCCGATCTTGGAGCCTAGTAGTTTTGCAAAGTCTACTATGTGATTTCTTAACAAAAATGCAGCCCAATAGATTAGAAATAGTCCAGAAAGAATAAAAAAGCGTAAATTTTGTCTTAATCATTGCAAAACTTTTTGGATTCCTCTTCGGGAGCACAGGAACTGCTGAGCCAGAAGGCTTCTGGACGACCCAGTCTTATGACCGTTGTCGATCGCTTTTTGAACTTCCGCCGTGAAATTTTTCTTTCCAGAAGGTTGAAAAATTACTAAAAACATGTTTCATGTTCAAATTTCAAATAAAAACATTTTTATGGACAAAGTTTGAAAAAAATGAAAAATTGGTAAAATCGAAAAAAACAAAAAAAATTTTAAAAAAAAATTAATTTTTCAACATGAGGCAATTTTGTTGTTTCCAAGTTTGCGCAACTGTGATTAGCGTTTACAGTAAAAATTTCAGCCCAATCGGCAGCGTTTGTGCCAAGTTATGCTCAAAAAACACTAGGCGAACATCATTATGGCCAGTACTTTACATATAATACAGAATACTGACAAAAAGAATGTGAATAAAATCATTGAGGAGAACGCAAAACCATAATGTTCTTTCTTTATTTCTCAGGAAAGTAGCGCAGAGTTTCAACAGACTCTTATAACAAACTACGCAAAGTCTGCTGATTTAAATTTTTTAAATTTATGATTGATGATTAATTTTTGCGCAGAACTTATTAATTAATTTATTTATAGACATTCAACAGAGTTTGCAAATATCTTCGGCATACTCGGCGGAGTGTCTTATAAGTTTTTCTCTAGTTACTTCGAACCTTTTTTCCAAGCAAAGTATTCAATGCGTCGGCTCCCGTTAATATGATCTGCGATTTTTCGTGTTGCACAATCCTTCGCGCTAGTCTCGCTGTATACGCACCGATACCCACCGATCGACCGGTCACATAACAATATGTAGGAATTTCGCTGTACGCACGGGATGTTTCAGTAGCAATTCGCGCAGATCCCATCAAGTTTTCAACTCCAATTGGTTCATCCTGAACAAAAACAATTTCAATAAAAAATTGTTCGATGCAAACGAATCAATTAAAAAATAAAAATATTCACATGAGTTCCTTTGATGCTAATTAATCTCCAATGATCTTCAACACGTTCGCAATCAATTCGATTTTCCAAAAATACTTTTTCTTCGTCTTCCAAATAATTATATTCGAAATCGTTGTTTCTTGTTGTCTTGACCTTCATCTTTTTCAGAACTTGAGAATCAATTCCAATTCGAGCTCCAGAATTGCTCGAAATATTAACGCGCGGAATCTCAAACGTTTAATAAATACATAATGTTTTTTTTTAAAATAAGATATGTAATTCACCTTGTGCTTCCTTGCGTATTGACTGGCTGCTTCAAATATTGCATGCTCGGATACCGAAAATGATCCAGCACAGTATGAGATATCGTTAGCAATTAAGATAAACTCTAAAGGATCTATTCTTCCGGGAATGAGAAGCCGAACAATCCACACGAAAACTGAGCTCCTCGAAAAATATTGCGGCACCTTCATCGCAACTTTTTTGAATTCTAATTGTCCATTCTGAATACACCTTTTTATTACAGGGTGTCATTTAAGTTCCCGCACAACTTTGTAGACGTACATTTCTGAAACTAAAAGTCCAAATCAAACGAGACTCGAAATATTTTTTATCTATAGTATAACAAATATTTATCTATTAACTCTTTTTGATTCGGCCTCTTTTCGCAGCTATGACTTCACGGAGACGCTTCGGGTAGAATTCGACTGTGGTACGCAGGTATTCGATGGAAAGATTGTCCCATTCCGCCAGTAATGTCTTCTTCAGAGCCTCTACACTTGAGTTGGGTTTTGCGTTGACCTTCTCCTGCAAGACCCCATCACGGAAAAGTCAAGCGGGTTCAGGTCTGGGGAGCAATCAGGCCATTCGGATGACTTGATAAAGTCGGGAAAATGGGTCTGGCACCACTCCTGAGTAGTTTTGGCAGTGTATGCGGGTGCTCCGTCCTGTTGAAAGACCCATTTCTGCCCACCGAAATGCGTTTGGGTCCAGGGCATCACATGCTTCTCCAAAATGTCCCGAACGTAGACTTCTTTGTTCATTTTCACCATCTGATCCACGAAAACCAGGTAGCACTTCCCGGTTGAGCAGATGGCACCAAAAGCCATCACACTGGCAGGATGTGAGGCTGGATGATATGTTCTTCCTTTCTCAGAAGCTTGCTGGGATGTTTGGCCAAGTACTCAATGGTTTTGTGAGTTGAATGCCGCCTCCACACTGAACAGCTTCTCGTCGGAGAAGACAGTGACGAGGTGTTCTCCAGACCGCGTGCGAGCAAGAAGTCGTTTTGCTTTTTCGAAGCGTCTCTGCTTGTTGACGGCCGATAGAATTGCCGCTTTTTGGACACGATATGGGGTCAGTACAAGCTTTGTTTTGACGATTTGTTCCATAGCAAAGATGCTCATTCCCATGTCTGACGCCATCTTTCTCATGCTCCTGTGTGGGTTTCGCCTGATCCTCGATTTAACGGCGTTGATCTTCTGAGGAGTGGTTACTGAGACGAGTCTTCCTTGTCTGGGACGGACACTGGTCGTATTTAGCTACTTGAATCGTTTGATGGTGTCGCAAACCGTTCTACGAAGCACACCGACCCGTTGAATGATGTCTCTCGGGCTCACATTTTGCTTATGAAGTTCGATAATGGAAGCGCGATGGATGTTAGCCTTCGCCATTTCTCGGAAACACATCCGAATGAGGTGAAACTTGGGAAATAAGTAAAATACACCTTATTTAACAAAAATAAATTGTATTGGTGCACAAAAAGTGCGACAGTCAATCTCTTCATGGCGTCAAACTTTTGTGCGGGAACTTAAATGACACCCTGTAGTTGTCAATTGTAAATCCATTGTCATTGACGGACGAGTTAATGGTTATGTTTATATCATTTGAATTGCCACCTGACTCTAGCATGGAAAAAACTCAACAAAACATGGTAACTTTAAAACATGGTAACTTTTACTTTTTCACCGAAAAAACGCTGGTCCACAATTATTCAAAGTGCTAGTTTTTTGCTAATTAACAAAATTTTCAAATGTTGCTAATTAATCAAATACGTTTGGCCAGGGCAATATGTAAGTTAGCTTTGATTAAATTTTATCAGAAATCCAATTTTAGAAGTTCATTGGTCAAAATTACCTGATTAAGATTCATTTCAGTTGCATCAATCAAATCCCAAAATTCTTGAACATCATAACCTTTCTCGTTATGCATTTTATGAGAAACGCCAGCAAACAAGATGAGAATATCAAAAACCGAGACTGTTCGGTTTTTCCTGAACATTTGATCAAATAACCTTATCATTATTGCTTACTGTGCAATATATCTTGTTTTCAACGACAAATTATGGGAATAAATCTTCAAAGCTTCATCGGAATATCGCTGACTAAGATATGCACCATAATCACAATACAAGGGCTCTTTCAAATGAATTGCATTATTTGAGCAGCAATAGATTTGAATCTGGAATGAATTTATTTCGTCACATTGTAGATGTTGCGCGGTTCACGAAAATTGGCTAAATGTCAATTTTCTTTGAACCAGGCAAATGTACTTTTAACTTATTCTTATTCGTTGCCTTTTTGGATTTAACTAATTTTCCGCAAAAGCGCGAAATTAATAATAATTTGTTTTAAAATAAAACTCTAACCAAATGCATTTTGTATCTGCGCAGTCGATTTTCATTTTCTCGAATGTACTTCTCAACATTTGTCGGGTGACCATTTTCAGATGGTAGAAACGACAATCTGACATAATTCACAGCAAGTTTGAACCTGGTGTATTTCAAAGTTTAGTATCATTATAACTATTATAGTCGGTGTCCTGTGACTGCTGTACGAGGGTAGATATACGCGCATGCGCCTGGAAAAGGTCTTACAGCGTGTGTACGCTTATTTTGCTGTTTTCACGTGAAAGATTAATTTTTTGTTGATGACTTTGGCATTTCCTTGAATTTTAACGTCATTCGATTGAAAAATTATTATACTGGCCCATAAGATGCAAAATAACTAGTTAGTCCGCGCGAGACCAAGAGAAAGATGCATCCTCGTAAATTTATCCACGTACAGCAGTCGCCGGACGCCGACTATATGTAGAACAAAATCAAAATACTTACTTTAAATACAACAAATCATTTACTACTTTGAACTACTTACTTCGGATATTTATATTGCAAAAATCGAATCACGACTGCCGCCATTTCAATTAATCTATCATATGGATTTATCCCCAATGATCGACAATTTCTCAGAGATTCCTCATCCAGTATAATTTCTATTTTTAACACAAACTCTTGTTCATTGTCGTGATTATCAAAAGAATGAGTTTGAATAGAAAAATTGCCGGATTTATACATAACGGCCGCTAAAACTTGAGATTTCTGGAAAAAATAGTTATAATTCATTATAAATGATTTTGTACCTTTTTCCAAAATCGAGATGACATATTTGGAAGCCATATCGACATAAGCTTCATAGCAGCAAGGTTTGAAATATTCTCAATCCATGTTAACGTTGCAACTTTCAATAATGCTTGCTCAATTGAAGCATTAATTGGAAGTTTTGATATTAATTCAATAATTTGCGAAACAATCATATGACGAAGACTTGAATTTAAATGCAAATCAATCATATCGACAATGAATGGGAAACCAAATTCCTGAAAATTTTTTATTTAAAAAAATTATTTTAGTTTTATGAAAATGTACCATTTCGATCATTTTTTGTACACATTCATCGAATGTGAATTGATCTGTCTCGAAATAACTCTCTTGCACGTAGAACTTATTTAAAATTGATTCAAAAAACTAAAAAAAATCCACCAAACATACCGGAATGATGATTATTCACCAATAATTCTTCCCTACCGTCTTTGGGTATTCAGCCTAATAGCATAAATTAGCATAAATATTTGTTTGTTTTTTTTTTAACACAAGAATGTCCTAGATCTTTGTAGCGAAAAATCGATAAGGGGGAAGTGGTAGTGAAAACTACGGTAGCAAAAAATCGGTAGCGAAGAATCATTGGCCCGGAATTGTTGAGAAAAAAAAATTACTGATTGCAGATTCGACTCTTTCATGTTATCCGTGTTAACAACAAATGAATCAAATAAACCCCTTCCATTCATTGCCATATCAATTTCCTTAAATTATTCGATCGAATAAAACATATATATTTCCTTAAACTTGAAATGTTACTTCAATCATGCCAAGTTTGAGGGGCTTCCAATTTTGAAAATTTCCTGAAAATTCCTCAATGTTGGCTTGCTTATCGGTATCGATGTCAAGCAATGCAACGACAGCTCCGGGATGAATTATGTCACCTTCTCTTGCAACATATTGAATCCTGATATTAAAAACTCGAGATTCGAAAAAATTCATTACAGACCTTCCAGGTGCCATTTCCACAAGTAAATCGAATACCATCTTCATGGATTCGACACGAGCATAGGCATCTCCAACATTCAGCAAGTCTCCTTCATTTACCTACAACAATTATACATACTTGTTAGACATATTATATTTTCATGTTTTATTTCCTACTATATATTCTAGAAATTTTCCAGTGTACGGCGATTCGAGAACACGAGCATCACTGTTATAATCTTTACGGAACTTCAAAGTGTTGTTTCCAATTTTAACCTTTAAAAATTGTTAGGCTTCAAAAACAATTGGAAAAAAATTACAAACCAAATAAAAAGAATCGACGGTCTCGAAGTGAAATTCGAACGATGATCCGTTATGAACAGCGATATTCGTAGCTTCCGATCCCAAAATTTCGATAAACGTTTCCTGCCCATTTAGTCGAATTCCATACTTTCCAGAAACAAGCTCAAAGACTTTAGCGGAGTATTTAACATGATCCAATTGTAATTCGACATCAACAGATCGCTTCAAGTCGTTTGGTAATACAATTCGTCCGTCGCGAAGACTCTGCTCATAGCGTTCAAAAATTTCGTTTATTTTATTGCGTCCAATTGCAGCTGCCGAAATGGCAATTAAGTCGCTTAGGTTAAGACCGTTATTCTGAAAAATTTATGTATTTATTAATTAGATGCTTATATGCAACACACAAATTTTGTTTTTTGCGCACCGTTCGCAATTCTTTCATCGAGCCATTGAACATCGTGATGATTTTCGAAAAACTTTTTATCTGACAGAAGATCAACAAGACACGATGTTTGTGTAGGAAAACTCGCTTCAATTCTAATAGATTTTAGAGCAGTTTTCAAATTCAAAATTGCTTCGTGACGTGTGGCACCTTTCGCGAATACATGACCGATTTGTGAATCTGCATGATCATGAACAGCGGATCCTGCAGACACTGAGAAATAACCCCATGAGTGTCTTGAAAAGCCATGATTCAATGAAAATACGCGGCCAACACACGGTAAAAATCTGCTGTTTGAAACCATTCATTTCACTATATTGATTAAATTTACCTGTCGTCGGGATCTTCGCAAGTGATTCGAGCTGAAATCGCATGACCATTTGGAGCATCTATCTTAGAAAGACCATCAATATCTTTTAAACGAATTCCCATTGCAATCTGTAGTTGGATGGCAGGAATATTCAGGTTTGAAATCATTTCGGTACAGGGATGTTCAACCTGAAGAGACGCGAAAAAAATTAATAGTTAATTTCGTCAAAAAAATAATACCTGCAATCTTGGGTTAAATTCCATAAAGTAGTACTTCTTTGTTTCGTGGACATACAGAAATTCAACTGTTCCAGCTGAATGGTACTTTACAAATTTTGCAAATTTGATAGAATCCTAAAAAGAAATTGACTAATTAACACGACGGCAGTAAGCGTAACCTGTTCCATTTTCTTTAAAATTTCCGGAGAAACTAAAGAAGCGGGAGCTTCTTCAATAACTTTCTGACATCGTCGTTGAGTGGTGCAATCTCGAGAAAAAAGCGAAATTATGTCTCCATATTTATCGCCTATTATTTGAACTTCGATATGTCGAGCATTTTGTACACAATTCATCAGAAAAATAGGAGAGTGCGGAACCTGTGTTGTAATAAAACACATGGCCAAAAAAAAACAATGTTTTACCTCGAGTTTAACCTCGTTGAAACATTTTGAAAAATCGGTTTCATGTGTGCATTTCCGAATGCCTTTTCCACCGCCACCTTCGGATGCTTTGATCTAAAATATTTCGGTTGGAATGTTATTTACAAAATAAACAATACTGATACCATGATTGGAAATTGTATGGAATTTTTTTTAATGCATTCCAGACCCTCTTCTTCTGTTTCTATCATAGATTGACGCATCATAGAATAAAAATTATATTCTTCAAGATGTCGGTTCTCTTTAATATGGCTACCGGACCATCGTACAACAGGAATATTTAGATTCTGAAAAACAAGTTTTAAACAATTATAATAATAATACCTGTGCAATAATAGTGCTATTTATCTTTTCACCGGATGCTATCATTGCTTTCGAGGAAGGACCAATAAATACGATATTATTTTCGCTCAATAACTTCGATAACTCCGGATTTTCAGAGGCATGCCCCCATCCTACAAATACGGCGTCTGCTTCTTTCTCAATCGCGAGAGATAAAATTAGATCAAGATTGGCAAAATTATGTATATTGCTACCCGATGGTGTGATAGCGACCTCGTCGGCAAGTTTCAGGTACTCTGAAATATTAAAAAAGATACTCATTCGAAAATTAGCCGAACTACCAGATCCCGCATCAAGTTCGTCATCATTAACCATACATATAAATTTAATTATTCCGTCATTATCAAATTGATTTTGAAGCCATTCTCGAATAGAAATAATGCATTTCATCGCAGCGAGTCCATTATTTGCAACGAGAATCTAAAATACACTCTTTACTTCTCAGTTATTCTTTTTCGACCTTACCCGTCTAATAGTCCTTTTCGCTTTTTTTACAGCTGCAAATTCTTCAAGGCTCTGCCACATACTCTTGTTTAATACTGTAATAACGATATTTGGCCGGTTTTAGCGTCATAGAGCCAAAATTGTCAGTTTTATCATCTAATTTGACAAATTTGACACGATTGCAAAGGCAAAATTAACAAATTCAACAATGTTGTATGCACTGAAAATCCCTCTGCAAATCCTGCTGTAGAAACGGGCGCGCGGGTGATCGAAGGGATGGAAAAATTAAGACCAGTGGCCTGGAGTAAAATAATTGCCACATCAAACGGCCCAAATTCACTAGAGTATTCAGAGACGGTTGAACTCAATAAGAGTTTTAAAATTAGGAAATTAAGAGAATCAGCATTAAATTTATATTTAATTATTGAAAAAACCGAGAACTCGAGAAAACCGAGAACTTTTCTTAAAATGGTGAAACAGTGTAACTGCGTGTTTCGCCAAAACTGATGAAAACCCCCGATTCCCCCGATGAGTTTTGCAAGAACTCGGCAATCCGAGCGAGAGGTCTGTTTTGGAAAAGCTGCGAAAAAAATACACATGCCTTTACTGTTTCATTTATCTTCATCTCGCGATTTAATTGTATTTATTTACTATTTTTTAAATTTATTTATTAACGTTCAAATCTGGAAAATATAAGAAAAATTGAACTAAAATAGAACATTTCGAGGAAATTCCTAAATTCGAATTTTAATTTTTGGATACGGTAGTTAAAGGTACGTGTAATTTTTGGAGCTGAGTCTTGCGGCAACCAATTATGATAGCCGTTTTTTAGAAACGGTCTACTGTTTTTGACGTTTTGTTATTATTTCTCATATAATTCTTCTTAAAAACACCCTTTAACTGTTTTGATGCCACACTATCGTCATTTTACCTCCGATATTGAAGAATATACATTTCTCTGCTTATCACCAAAGATTCACATTCTAATTCTCATTTTAGCGGATTAAATTTGCACAATTCTTATCAGCAATCTGCCTGTTTCTATTCAAGCTTATGGGAATTATTTGAGATCACTACGAGCGGTCGATGGTAAGTCATAGGAGCTTCATAAATGCTTCTCAAGTTACTCTGCTTCTCTCCCTCCTCGTTTTTCCATTCACATTTCGCAGCTGTCAATATATTTTGCCTTTTCGTGTGTACGCAAAAAAAATGATTAAATCAAAATCAAGCATCATTGTCTACACATATGTGGATTTATTTTAATGGTTTTGGTGACGTTATAACTATTAGAATTAATATTATCTGGAAATAGGCATTTTATGTGATAAAAGTAGAAATGTTTCCTACTATTAATTTTTCATTGATTCCTAAAGGAGCAATGCAGAAAATTTTTATTAGAAAATTTCAAGAAGAAAGAAAAATAATATTTCTCTTCCTTTTTTATTCTTTTAATTTCTTTCTGCTTAGATTTTGTCTACTTTTTTTCTCTGCATTGCCCCTTAACATAAGTTAGCTTGTCACCTTTTTCGTCGTTTTGTATGCAAACTAAGAAAAATTCTCAACTGATGAAGAAAACCACTTCTCTTCTGAGATTATATTATTAAATCGATTTTTAGTAGACTCTTCACGGAAGTTTATGCAATCTAAACGGCCGACCTCAAACGAGATTAGGCTTATGACGAAGAAATGACGAAATCTGCAGAAAATAAAGTGAAAAAATTTCGTAAGTCAATCTTTAAAAAAATAAACGAAAGTTGTTTTCAGCACTGTTCCATCCATTTTCACGGCGGCTGCACATATGCATTCTTTGTATGGTAGGATTTTCCATTGTCGTATATTATGTATAAAATCTCAAAAAAAAAAATAAAACAATTTACAATTAAAAGATGACGTTTATTTAATAAAGAGACTAATTGTGTCCTTTTACGAAAGACTTATTTTATTTTCTGCATTTACAGTTTGGGTTCTTCTGCACGACATTTATGCGTATGCATCTGGCAATAACAATGACGTGCATGGTTAATTCAACCGCCCTGATACTTGAATCAACATTAGAATCGGATCTAATGAATGGGACATTAATTGAAGAAGTGTTCCGAAAAATTCATAATTTTGACTATTTTTCCATTTTCAGGTCAAGGCTGTTTCAGATGGAGTTTGTGATGTACAAGATGGAAATAATTTAAAAAAAGTGATTGTTGATTACGGTGGAGAACTTGTTTGGACCAATCAGGAACAGAATTTGATCTTCTCCGGAACATTTTGGGGCTCCATTATTACTGTTCTTCCATCAATGTTTTTCATTAATCGTCATTCACCGAGATTAGTTCTTCAAGCAGCGATCGCTGTTTATATCGGGATGACTATACTGACACCTTATCTAGCCTTAAACTACGGGCCGTATCCAGTGTTTGCTTCGAGATTTATTATGGGACTTGGTGAAGTATTGAAAAAAAAAGAAAATCATCAGAAAATGAAACAATTACAGGGATTTATTTTGCCAACAAACAATGCTCTTTTAGCGAATTGGTTTCCAAGCGCCGAAAGAAGTACTGCAATTTCTCTTTTCACTACAGGAAATCAATTAGCAGGTATTTTGAATTGTATCTTTCTAGTTTTCTAAACTTGTAAATTTCAAGGAGCTGGAGGTAATCCAATTGCCGCATCACTATGTGCTTCCTCTTATGGATGGGAATCGGTTTTCTATTTTATCGGTATAACTTTTTATTGACAATGAAGTAACATAAACTTATTAGGAGGAATCTCAATTATTTGGTCAGTGATTTGGACAGCAACATCGTCAAATCAGCCGTCGAAATGTAAAACTATGAACAAAATCGAACGTCAATACTTAGAAGCAAATGTGATTCGAAGAAGCAATAAAACACAGGTAAATGCATTATTTATGATCGGGATTTTTGTTAAAAGTCATCTTCTTCAATATCGTCTACTAAAAACTTTGATTCTTCTCTGACATTCTGTTTTTTTCTAGTTTCCTCGTCTTGAAACAGAATATTTATAAGAAAATTGTTGACATCTTGTTTGACACTAGCTCCTTCCGTTGCAAAGTGGCATGCAATATGATGGACATTGCGTAATTGTGGAAGAATTCTTTAAAAAAAACTAATAATTGGAAGTCCGAACAAAATAATGATTACTTAAACGCAGACACAAGCTCATGATTTGTTTTCTTGGGACCTTGCTCGTTTAGTAGAACTAGCACTGATCTTGCTTCAAGACCTTCCTTCTCAACAAATTCGCTGTACCATTCTAACAAGTCGGTTCCAGTATGTTCTTCAGGATTTGCAATCAAAATCACTCCATTAGCATCTCTCTTGATTGCTGGCCAACATTCTGCGTACTTTCGATCTCCGCTGACATCCCAAAGCTGAATTTCAACATTTATGCTTCTCATATTTTTCTCTTCATTTCCTGGCGATTTTCCGTCTTTAGTTAGAAATTCGTGACTTTCAAATTCAACAATTCGTACACCTAAACCCAGTTTTTAAAATGCGGACAAACATAATGAAGGGCAAACCTTTGGTTGGTCTATAGGTGTCAGTAAACTCGAATTCGAATTTTTTATCTCGCCGCACATCGTCATCATCACCAGCTCGTAATTCATCGCCCATAAATTCACCGAGAAATGTAGCCAATGTTGTTTTTCCAGCACGCGGTGGTCCAAGAATAAGTATTTTTTTCAAAATTCGTTTTTTACTGCTGTCAAAATTCGTCATTGCGTTCTATTAACGAGGAATATGTCAGATGGCGGGCAGTTATATTGATGCCAGTTACCATGGTAATGCCAGTTGCCATGGTTCATGCTGAGACGCAGCGCATTAAACGAAAGTGTTTATATTCCAATGGAAAGCAAATTTCCTTTGTCATTATAAATGAATCAAGAATCATCATTTTCAGAAGGATCAAAATGTTCCCTATGGAAAAATTCTGCGATCTCCAGCTTTCTGGGCTCAACTTCAATGCCAGTTCGTGATTAATTCTGTTGTAACTTTGTTCCAAATATACCTTCCATCATATTTCAAGGATGTTCTGCATCTCGGAGTAATTGCAGTATGGTTTTGAAATATGCGATAAAATTGTCGATGCTGAAATTACAGAATGGAACATATACGTCTGTACCAAACATCGTCAATTTCGCAATAAAAATTGTATGGAGTATTCTCATTGATAGAGCAAAAGAGAAAAAGAAAATTAATCCAACAGTAGCTGTGAAATTGTCGCAAAGTGTTGGTGAGGAACATTTTTTTCTATTTTAAAATATGACTCTAATTGACAGCAAACTTCGGTGCTGCAACGGCCCTAATATGCATTGCATTCTTCGTGGATTGTACAAATCCCACGCTCGCATTCATCATTTTCTGTTTCATGTACAATTAATAATTATTTCAGTAATATATTGTTCAATTAAAGGTATGGATGTATGGGAACGTTCGTAAGCGGTTTCTACACTTCATTGCTCTCATTAGCACCAAGATATACCGCTACTATGTCTTCGATATCAGTGTTTTGCGCGATGATGGGTAGATTATTAACTCCGGCAATTGTGGGATTAATTAAAAAAGAGGTAAATCCAACCAGCCATTTTCTCTACAACAATTTCCTTTCAGGGAAATCTGGCGGAGTGGCAAATGCTCTTTTTATTGTCAGCTTTTGCGAATGTAATGTGTGGTGTCATATTTCTGATTTTCGGATCAGGTTTGGAACTTTTCTGTTAAAAAAAATTGTCGAAGACATGCAACTTTCAAAAAAAACGGTGTCTAAAGGGCCAATACCGATTTTTTTTTTAATTTTAAGGTGACGTCTTGGTGTGCGATGGGAAAATTTTAGAAGAAAACTAAAAAACGGGATTAAACAAGTTTTTTGCGCAGCTTCATAGGGATTTTCAGAATTTTTTGCAATGAACCAATTCATACAATTGTAAAAATAACAATTTTTTCTAATGCAGGGTGCAAAAAATTTTAATATTTAGGCAATCCGTTCTTAATTAGCGGGAAACCAGCAATAACAACTTTTCATTTTAGGAGAATTACAAGATTGGGGTAAAGAAGATGAGGAAAAAGAAATGCAGAAAATCGAAGAAAAACAGAATCTCAAAGACGAAAATGTTGTTGAAAATGAGACTTTCGAAACGCCAGAAATCGTTATAAACGAAATAACGTTAACCACCGAAGAAAGAGAAGAGTTCAAACGGCGAATTCGTGAAGATTCGATGTGCCTTTAACCATAATAGGGCGAATATTTCCATTGATCTCGGAATTAATCAACTTGAATTTAGTTTGTCAATACTTGTAATACTTTTCTGTGATTTATTGCTTTTATATCACACTGAAACTGGAAAAAGGACAAGAAATAAATAAAAGTGGATGAAAAATGGTTCAGACCATAGAAGTATCTTTTTTCATCCACGTTTAAACAATTTTCTCTATGTTTCCCAGTTAATTTTAATAAATATTTTCAACAACTCAGTTACTGTTTTTTTATACAACTCAACACAGTGACATCAATTGTCTGGTTCGGACCCCGTTTGACAGGTTTCATTAGCTAGTTTTTTGCGACTGAAATTCACTACATATAGAAAGAAACGAGCACTCAGATTATCCTTTTTATGTACAAAAACTTGGAAGACTATGGCACGGTGTGCGCCTATAATCTTTATGCCCGTATATTTACACTTGCGGAAATTTTTACCATTTTTACATGATAAAAATGAGAAAATTGAATTAAGCCAAAAATTAATATAACCCTCGCTCCAAAAAAAAGACGCAAGGCAATACATTGACTTATGGGTCTCGCGGTTTTTTTCAGTAATTTAAATAATTACTGTGTCCATTGCATTTTTACGTTCTCGCATTGGAAACGTTTGTAAATCATTTAATTAATTTTTTTAAATACATATTTTCAAGTATATGAATAGATTTATAAGTTGAACATGCTTTTACGATTTGCATTTTCACTATGCTTACGTGTAGTAAGAGAATATTGAAGTGCGCAAACAGACAGCTGTGTTTGTGTTTAGTTGTTTTTGTTCTTTCAGAATGCGAACCATATTTCAAATATTTTTTGTATTTCTCTGCTTTACTTACGTGTATGCGCACGATGAAGAAGATCATCATAAACATTCACATGAAAACCCATATACAGGTTTTTGTGAATTGTTCAAATATATCTAAATAACCTTGTTTAGGTGTTCATAGTCACGGACACTCTCATCACCATCCTCATCATAAGTCAACAGAGGAACATATCAGCTCGTAAACGAATGCATATATTTTGATATCTTCAATATTGTCTATTTTAGTTATGAGCATTGGTTTTATTCTTTAACAGCGGTTTTATGCATTTCCGCGGCGCCCTGTGTTTTACTTTTCTTTATTCCCGCTCAAGTTTGAAAAGCGTGTGAAAAATATAAAATTTTTATTTTAGCATGCAAACGGAGCACTTTTAAACATTCTATTGGCGTTTGGAGCTGGAGGTCTCCTTGGAGATGCAATTCTTCACATTATTCCGCACGCTCTTCACGGTCATGGTTAGTTGGAAATTAATTTTAAAAAACGCTGATTTTTTAAGAACATCAACACAACGAAATCGACGAACACAATCATACAAGCGAGTTGAAAGTAGGAGTTTTTGTTATTCTGGGATTGCTCGTATTTATGATGATTGAATTAATCGTCCGAATAATTAAAAATGATGATCATCATAATCACGCGCACGAAATGGTGCATCTTAATCAAACAAAAGACAATACCGATGAAAAAGAACAGAAGCCAGAGAATATAAAAGTAATATTTACAAAAATATTAAAATGTAAATAATATTGTTTAGGTAACAGCTTATTTGAATCTCGCCGCAGATTTTATTCATAACTTGACAGATGGTTTGGCAATCGGAGCTTCGTTTTCAATCGGAACAACAACTGGGTTGCGTGAGTTGAAAGAGTGCAGATTAAATTATTCTATCTATTTCATCGCAAAAAACGAGCTGATTCACGAGTTTTATTAGCAGGTTATCCGAACTTATAATATTTAAATTCAATTTTAAATTACCGCCTCGAAAAAAGGCGATGGTCCACAATTATGCAAGGCGCTCGTTTTTTTTTGCGATGGTAACATGTATGTAACAATTGCTAAATAATTCTCACACCACTCACATGTTACTTCATGATTTTTAGTAACAACTTCGACAGTATTCCTTCACGAACTACCACACGAAGTCGGGGATTTTGCGATACTAGTACAAGCTGGATTTTCGAAATGGGAGGTGAATTATGGGCAACGATTCGTTTAATGTTTTTTATTAGGCTATTCGACTGCAATTGGTCACTGCTCTTGGTGCTGTTACTGGATGTCTAATAGCTCTTCTTGTTTCTGATCCCGGACAAATTGCTAGTGGCACACATACAAGCTGGATAATGCCATTTACAGGTATTATCGAAGTCGAGTGATTACGCAAAAGTGTCTTTATGCCAAAATCCATGGCAATGGCCTTGGCGCAAAATTAAGAGTATGTAAATGGTTCATAATCGGAAACAGTTGCAAAAAAAACGAGTACCCTCACAGATTTATGGTGAGTTTTATAAGTTAGCTGTAGTATGGTATCCGGTTGTTTAAATTCAAATTTTAATTATCGCCTCAAACAACTGCGATGTTCTACAATTAGTCTGGGTGCTCGTTTTTTTGCGATAGATGCACTTTTAGCTGTTGATATTGTCAAAGTCAAACGACTTGACGAAGTTTAAAAAATTGTTGGCTATTTGCCAATGTGACTCGAGGCAGCGAGATTGCGTACATTACATTATTGTGTACGCGCATTTAATATTCAGTCAGCGAAACATTTAAATCTACACTGATTTCGCGAATTTGAAGGCCCCGCCTCACTTCAGTCGTTTGAGCACGACAATATAAACTGTGTATAATTTTTGATAGATAACTTTAAATTTAATCGTTCCAAAACATGAGAAAGGGCAATAAATAACAATTATTTATTTTACAGCTGGAGGGTTCATCTATATCGCAACGGTGTCCGTCATTCCTGAGCTTCTTGAAATAAAGTCTTCAAATAGCTGTCGATATATGTTGTTCATCCAATCGCTGGCGAATATCTTTTTTATATGCCTTGGAGTTGCAATGATGTATTGTATTGCGATTTTCGAATGAGTTCGATCCATGTTCGTTTTGTTGGTTTTTTTTCTGCACTCGTGTTGTTTTCTACTGCCGAAATTTCCGTCGGGAATCCGCCCTCTCGATTTTTGATTCTCTCATCGTCTGATATGTTCTGGTATTAATTCACTCCTTTAATATATTTCTCTTCGCGCAATTTTAAAATATAAACATATAAAAGAAAATCTATTTTTCTGCACCCTTTTTATCCACAATTATATCTAGTGTCCCATAAGTTTATTTGTATGCATTTCTATAAACATGGTTGAATTTCTTCTAGTTTCATTCTTTGAACGTGGTAAAATGTAATCCTATATTTCTTTTATTATTTTTAATAATTGGAATTATTTCGTTTTCCCACGAAGGGTCATCGAAATTTGTATTTTTATGCAGTATTCCACATAATTATATTACACATAACCAAAAATCCTTTTAAAAAAATGGAAACGCAACGTCTTTTTTACGTGGAAACGGAATTTTGTGAAACCCTGCTCTGATTCGATGCTTTCCATACCTAATGAAATCGTTCAAAATGTTTGAGGGACAAAAAACGTTTGTAATTGGTGAAATGGATATCGTAATTATTGACACGAGAGAGGAGGGAAAATCAGTGGTTTCACGTAAAATCTTCAGAGGGTCATAATGGTGCTGGCGTCGATCAGCTCACTTGGACGAGTCAAACAATGGATGTTTTCGATAAAGATAAATGGTTATAATATTGAGACGTCATAAGACATGCTATCACTTGGCATCAAAATCGGCGCAAAGATTTCTCGTTCATGTTAGATTGAACTCTTTGACAAAGTCTTTCAGCGGCTTTACACGAAGATTTTCATAAGAAACTCAAATAGCAAGTTGAAAATACGAAATATATCCCTCGAAAAAATTGACGAAAAACCCTTTTAAAAAAAGTAGGATGGTGTTGTAATTATGTGGATTTTTTTTCACTTTTTCATGCAAACTGAAATTTTTTAAATTATCCCTTTTATAGAATTAAAATAAAACGCGTCAAGACTAGTCACTACACCAGCAATAAAGATTCCATTCTGAACCTACAATGATCAGGGCGCATCATCTTCCGGAATCTCGTCCATGTACTACTGTTAGGTTGTTTATTAAAGCGCGGTAAGATTGTGTTCAAGAATTTTCTTAATTGTGTGTATGTGTTTTTAGGAAAATTGCGGATCGCGATGTACTCTCGAAAAGCGATCCGATATGTATTGTCTACGAGAAAACATCGGGAAAACGGGAAAGTTGTTACGCTCCCGTGGTAAAAAACACATTCCAGGGTAGTTTTAAAAATTTTCAAATTATCTTATTATTTTTTTAGACCCAGAATGGATTGAAAGGGGTCGCACGGAGATGATAAAAAATAATTTGAATCCCGAATTTACAAGAAATGTAACATTGTCGTATTATTTTGAGGAAACACAATTATTACGATTCGAACTGTAAGCGTACCGCTCATTTTTTGGATAATTTGATAATTTCAATTGTAGCTAGAGATCGCTTGGAATTTCCCGATTCTGGGATATTTCCTGTTTTTTTTTTGTGCGGGTTGAGCCTAAATTTCACCGGAGGGGGGGGGGGAATATTTACCTAAAAAATGACCGCGAGGTCGGAAAATTTTTCAAGCAAAGATAACTGTAAAGGAGCGATGTAGAGAAAAGAAAAAATACAAAAATACGCAAAATTTCCATGCAAAAAAACAACTATTTCCTTTTTTTCATTTAAATTTTTTTCAATTTATTTTTTTAGTGTTATACATCTCATAAATTGTTTAATGAACATGTCGGAAGCCCTAACTAAAAATTTAAATAAAAGAAAATTTTTCAGTGTAGAATAATAGTTTTTAAAATTTAGGATCCAATTAGTTTCCAGTACTAGAGTGTTAATTTTTTTCAATATATTGATTAAAACAAAACAAAACAAAACCTTCTAAATATCGAACAATGAAAAATTTTCCGGATATTTCCCGACTTGTTTTCCAGTACATCCATTGTATCTAGGTATGATGTGGACTCACACAATGTCGCCGATTTGACTAAACATGATTTTCTTGGACGTTACGAATGCCCGCTTGCAAGAATTGTTAGTTTCACAAAGATAAGAGGTCACTTGGAAATTGGTCCGGACAGAGGAAAATTGTGGAAAGATGGGTAAGAAATTTTTTTTAATCTTAATATTATAGATACAGGGACGACTTCCTAGAGTATGGATCTATTACCATAAGAGGAGAGGAAGATAACAACTTGGACGAAGTTTCTTTTGATGTGGAAGGAGAAAATTTAGACAAGAAAATGCTGATGAATCCAGATCCATATTTAGTCTTCATACGACATTATGATGATGGAAAGTATGTACCGAAAATTATTTATACATATATGTTTGTATATAATTTTTGTCGGCTTCCCGCTACTGTTTTCAAAAAAGCTGGGAAGTTTTTGTTTTGCGCCATATATAAGTGTGTTGCAGAATTATAAGGGCTTCATTTTTTTCTCTAGCGATGTTGGGGTCATTCTAGATCATTCTCCAAACTGTCCACTTGCTTACAAAGAGGGGTTTGTTGACACGAGTTGGATCCTTTAAGATGTCTACGCATGTTTTCGAACCATTTAAATTCTTCGCGTGTAACTTCCTGTAACTAAAATCGGTATGTGCGACTCGATGTACGCACAAAATGCATAGGATATCACTGCAGTTTTTCACATTCGTCATTTTTCCTCAATAGGATGAGCTGAGTTAGCTTCGCAGATTATCCTGAGTAGGTTACCAGAATTCCCAGTGTTTTAATTCAAGTTTGAATTACCGCCTTGAAAAAAGTGCGATGGTCCACAATTATGCAAGACGCTCATTTTTTCCGATGGTAATAATTATTGCCGAAGTCGTGCGACTGCTGAAATTTGGTTTAGTGTCAAAAGACAATGACATTAGTCTTACCGAAAACCAAAAATTTATATTTACGGGCCTAAGTATAAGAATAGGTTAAATAGGTTATGCAGATCAGATATTAAACACGACAATACCTCTTTCGTAAATTTTCGGCATTTCGCCGCGCCCGTAAATCTACCCCTTTACATTAGTCACACAACAACTACATATTTTATTTATTTATTTATTAAGCCAATTTTTTTACAGTTCACATCCTGTGTATACATCCGAATTGAAAAGATCAACGCGAAATCCATTCTGGAAAAGAATCAGCATCGCTGTACAGGCACTTTGCGGAAAAGATCATAACGCACCGATCACAATTGAGTGCTATGATAAGGGCCAAATAAGAAAGTTTTGCGTAGCTTTTCTTGAGATATTAAGTAATGACCAAACACGTTGAAGAGATCATTACATTGGCAGCTGTCAAACCAGTTTGGAAGACATTTTGACTGCGACATATACGGAAAAGATTCAACTTCACGTATTCTGAAAGCGTTCAGATAAAAAAAGAAGATAAATTTCAGATTAAAAACGAAAAAAAAACAAGCCAGGAAAGGGCGCAGTTATCAAAATTCTGGGATATTGATATTATCGGCTGCCAAAATAGTTAAGCAGCACTCTTTTCTCGATTACATAGCTGGAGGGTATTTATTTTGATATTTTTTTTATCCAACCGACTTTTAGAACTCAACTGGAATTTTCAATAGCCATCGATTTCACTGCTTCTAATGGGCCAATTAGAGACCCTAGGTCACTTCACTATTTGTTCAAGGACCGACCAAATCAATACGAAATTGCTATTAAGTCTTAATATATGAGATATCAGTATATTGTGAAAAGTTAATTGCAGAGCTTGTTTAGCAATTTGTCAGTATTATAACTACTCAAAAACTTTTGACGTTTATGGATTTGGAGCGAGATTGCCTCATGAGAGAACAGTATCTTCATTGTTTAATTTGGTGGGATTTGACACAAATAATGTTTGGTAATTATATACAGTACCGCACAAAATTCTATGAACTTTTGGTTTTTCGTACATTACTTTCTTCATAATGGTTGAATCATCATAAAATTTTAATACTAAAAAAAGAAAATATAATTGGTTTAAAAACTTTAAATCGATTCTGAATGTATGTAGATTTTTTCAGAGTTACTGTTTTCGAAATTTTCGGTTTTTTTTTTCACTTTTTCGCGAAATCTTTAATTGTTGATATTTAGACGTATATTGCATATTGTGCAGTTTGCTGAGGTTCTCAATTCATTTAGGACATTAGTTGAAACCTTTAAAGTCTTTAGCCGCCGGAGATTGTACACTTTTCAACGATACTGTAAATATATCCTTGCTTCTTGTGATTCTAGGTAGACTTACGGTCATGTCTTTCAACTACCAACCAATGTTCATTTTGAAGTGTTCCACGTACAGCAGTCGCCGGACGCTGACTTTAGTGTATTCAAATACCCCCTTGATATATATTTTCAGAATTATCTTGAAAAATCGCCAAGTGTTACTGGAATTCGTGGTGTTGCGAGAGCCTATCGCAATGCTCTATCAAATGTCGAACTTTTTGGTCCATCAAATTTTACACCTGTTATAAAATGTGTAGCTGACAAAGCTTCTGATATGATGGCGGATTCATCAAGATATCAGGTTTCTACATTTCATTATAAAAATTATATCTATAGTCGACTTCGGCGTCTAAAACCGGAGTTGATTTATGAGAATGCGCTATTGCTATAGTCCCGAGCACCCGAGCAAACTAACTGGTTATTTTGTATTCTAAGGCATAATCTCATCAAGAAAATTAAAGAACATGTTTTTTTTAATGAGCACCAACTGTAGATTTACCGTTATTTTGATATATATGATTTATGCTATCGGTACCTGAATTCCCACTGTTGGTTAACAAATGCTCGTCCATATACGTTGCTCGTTTATTTTTGTAATAAAAGCCACAAAATAAGCGTTGATATGCCACAAGATTATTGCGAAAGGCGCACCCGTAAATCTGCAGTTGCCGAATGTCAACTACACCAATATAGATTTAAAAAATCAAAATCCCATTTACTTTGCGGATTATTGATGTTTTTTTGGAAAATGATATCATAAAATGTATTTGTTTCAGATTCTTCTGATAATAACTGACGGTGAAATTACGGATATGAATAATACGATCGATACAATTATTAACGTTTAATATTAAAAAAAAATATTTCATTTCACAACAGTGTGTTTAGGCGTCAAGTCTTCCACTTTCTATTATCATTATCGGGGTTGGAAACGATGAATTCAATTTAATGGAAATGCTTGATAGTGACGATCACCTTCTAAGAAATGGAGCAACAGTTGCCCAACGCGATATTGTGCAATTTGTGAGAATGCGCAGTTTTCTTAATGAAGGCGGAACGTATCTTGACCCCGATATTGTGATGCAGAATTTGGCACGAGAAGTATTGTATGAAGTTCCGGCACAACTCACCAGTTACATGAAGAGCCGTGGTTTCACTCCAAAACCAGCGAATTCACCGTGGCCTCGTCCGCAACCACCACCTGGTATGTTGCTCACATTTCTTAAAAATAAACTGTTCTCATATTGAAACATTGTGAACCTTTGTTTCGTGCGTGACACTGAAATTTCGGTCTTTTTTTACGGCAAAATACTTTGAAAAAGTCTTACCTGAGTTCCTAAAAGAAATGAAAGAACGGAACATTTATCGTTTTTAATTTTAGAATATGACGAGGCAATGGATAACCTTGCTTTATACGAAAGTGTATCGCCACCACCACCGCCAATCGGTTTCAATGTCGAAAGATCGCCACAAACCAATAATTAATAACCTTATTATAAAAATGGTTTTCGAAAACTAACCTTCAAGTATTTATTTTTGCAAATAATTTGATGTATCAAATTGACAGTTATGTGTTAAACGCTCGATACTCATACATATTACAATAAAAATTTTAGTTATTTTAGTAATATTTGAATTGCCGCGCTGGACAGATTTCGAAAGCCAGCCGCGACGCGTCTCGCACGCTGCGCGTCCGACGATTTTCGACTTGCTAGGCGCGATTGATTTTTTTGCTTATCGAGTAGTTTTCACTCAAATTCCAATTATTTATTTAACCTATTCTCTAGAAGATTTTCTTATCTGTAAATTTCTTTTGCGAGAAGTATTGTTTAAAATGTTTTCCTTTCACTTGGCACCTTATAGCTGTTTTAGGATTTCGAAATTCTTCAATTTTTTCCCATGCAAATTGTCTTGCTTTGGACTTGCTTGTTTGAACGTTGATTCTGAAAATTATTCTATTTCTTTTATTTATAAGAAAATTTATTTAAATCTATTTTCTCAGCAATATTCCTTAGGATTGGCCCTACACATTGGTTCTAATAATTTGTTTTTCATCATATTTCATTAGGATACATTATAATTTATTCTCTTCAGAGCAATGAGTTCCAACAGACAAGCATATTATAAAAACAACGCCAAGGAGCAGTTGGGAAAAGAAAAGCGAAATGAGGAAGTCGTCAGTATTCGGAAGGATAAACGCGAGGAAGCTATCTCGAAGAGAAGAAATATCAATGCGGCTATTGAGTGAGTATTAATCATAAAATACGATATAAAAATATATTATAGGGATGATACGGAGACTGTCACCCTTCCATCTGGTCCATTCGATAGTAACCTACTTCGTATCACAGTTGAAGCTGCAAAGTCGACAAATCCCGCTGAACAACTCTCTGCGGTGCAACAAGCAAGAAAAATGCTTTCAACTGATCGAAATCCTCCAATTGATGACTTAATTTCCAGTGGAATTTTGCCGGTTCTCGTGGATTGTTTATCGAGTACTGAGTAAGTTTACATTGATAGATTGCATGCTAAATATGTTTTTGCAGTCCTAATTTGCAATTCGAAGCAGCATGGGCACTTACCAATATTGCTTCCGGAACATCAGAACAAACTCAAGCTGTGGTACAAATTCAAACTAGAAAAATCGAAAACAATTTATAATTTAGGTGAACGCCGGAGCTGTTCCACTATTCCTTCAACTTCTTTCTTGTGGGAATTTGAACGTTTGCGAGCAATCGGTTTGGGCTCTCGGAAACATTATTGGAGATGGTCCACACTACCGCGATTACTGTCTTCAACTCGGAATTCTTCAACCACTCTTGGCTTTCATTTCTCCAGATATTCCTATTGGATTCTTGAGAAATGTGACATGGGTTATTGTCAATTTGTGTCGTTGCAAGGATCCAGCCCCGTCTGCCGAAGTAGTTCGCACGATTCTTCCTGCATTGGCACTTCTTATTCATCATCAAGATACCAACATTCTCATTGATACTGTTTGGGCTCTCTCGTATTTGACTGACGGAGGAAATGAACATATTCAGATGGTTATTGATAGTGGAGTAAGTTTTATATATTATCGTAAACAGACAACTGTCCTAAATTATTGCGAGACCAAAATGTTTGCAATGGAGGTGTTTAGTCGCCGTTCTAGAATTTTTTATTGTCTCAGTTATAGATAGTATTCGAAATTCTGAATGGTATGAGCTATGTCCACACGGACAACGCCTCATTTAACATCACGGCCTAGATATCCGCGCACGTAGATCGAAAATCACGTTTCGAGAGGCACTTCTACAGTAGACCGCGCCGTATATAAACATCTCCCTTGTTAGTTTAAATTTTTACGCGCCCCCTGCGATAATATGAATATATTCACGCCGGTTTTACTTGGAGTCATTTAGGTTGTTGAACATCTTGTTCCAATTCTTGGTCATTCTGATGTCAAAGTTCAAACTGCTGCTCTTCGCGCTGTTGGAAACATAGTAACCGGAACGGATGAACAGACTCAACTCGTTCTTGATTCTGGAGTTTTGAAATATATGCCGGGACTTCTCGCACATTACAAGGAAAAAATCAACAAGGAAGCTGTTTGGTTTATTTCAAACATAACTGCTGGAAACCAACAACAAGTGCAAGATGTGTTTGATGCTGGTATAATCCCAATGATCATCCATCTTCTTGATCGCGGAGATTTCCCAACACAAAAGGAAGCAGCTTGGGCTATTTCCAACGTTACCATATCCGGACGACCGTCCCAAGTCGAGCAAATGGTTAAACTTAATGTGTTGAGACCGTTTTGCGCTATGCTTGACTGTAAGGACCCGCAAATAATCCAGGTAACTTTCATTATTTTATTATTCAAGCTTCTATTATTTCAGGTTGTTCTTGATGGAATCAATAATATTTTAAAAATGGCTGGAGACGGCGTTGAACATGTTACGGCCGAGATTGAAGAGTGCGGAGGACTTGACAAGATTGAAAATCTTCAGAACCATGAAAACGAAGAAATCTACAAACTTGCTTTCGAAATTATTGACACTTATTTCAGGTAATGCGTTTTTTATTAGGCTATTGCGATTTTTCTACAATCGTGAATATTTTGTATTAAGCAAAGCTACCCTAATAATCGTTTTCGCGATTAGATTTAAAAATTTTTCGAAGAAATACACGTCCTCATAGTTTTCGTTTTTTTTTTCTTAAAAGAAAACAATTTTTATCCATTTATAACCCATTCATGCCATAGCAAAAAAAATAGTAGTACAACAGAATATTCGTGAAAAAGTGCCACATTTTGCAACTATCCGTTAAAATTGAAAAAATTTAATGACTAGATTCATTGACATCGAATTTATAGCTCTGACGAAGAAGGAAACGAGAACAGCGGAATTCCAACTTCAAACGAATTTAACTTCAATGGCCCGTCTGGATCCGATGCCCCACCAGCTCCGGATGCTCCAAATGGCGGCTGGAATTTCGGAAAAAACTAAACTTCACATGTTATTTTTCCAAACAGAACTTTAATCAACTGTTCAACTATTTAGCCGAATATAGTCTTTTCTTTTGATTCTTAATCATTTTACTTGCACCATCAATGAGGTTTCGAACTCGAAAACTCTACGCCAGTCCCGTTTTTAATTGTCGATTCTCTCCTTTCTTTGTAATATTGTTGGCCGTATTGGCGTTCATCATAATTATTGTTTTTGTTCTTTTCTCCCTTCATTGACTCATTCTCGATTCGGTTCCCTTTTATTTTCATCTCTTGCTCATTGGCCGTAACTGGTCTGCGAGCTCTTCATCACCATTCTTATCCTCATTCTTTTCCCACCCCCCATTTTTTGTGCGAGTGTGCGTGAAAGTGTGTAATTGTTTTGTTGAGTTTGATTCTTTCATTTGAGAATTTTTCGCCACAGATTATTATTTCCCGTGTTCATCCCCACCCATCCAGCGACGGTCCCTGTAAATGCGAGTAAAATGTACAGTTTTTCGTTTCTTTAAATTTGTGTGACGAGTGTGCTCCTGTTCCCCCCACCCTAGTCGATTTAGCCCAGTTTAGGAGAATGTTGCTTTTCATAATTTCGCGATCTATTGCATCTTTTTCAATTTTCCTTAACTCACCAATCCTGTTCTTCTCAACCTTATGGGTTTCATTTTTTCATCTCCTATTTATATTCTTAATTGTATTTCATAATAATCTCCCGAAAATACATTGTCTGCCTGCTGCCCGGCCCAAAGTCTTGTGAGAGTTTGTGAGTTGTTCCTCCCGCTCCTCTTTATAATTCATTTTCCTCTTCTTTCATCATCCTTTCTTATTCCTCCACTTCATCCTCCTCTCTGATTCCCGTTTTGTTCGTCCTTCTCATTTTCTCCCTTCTTGACTGGCCTATTGATTTGCCCATGGTGTGTGCTCATAATGAATTTTCGATGTTATTCTTTTTTCGACACCCCTGTTTATGGATAAATTTTTTTAGATTCGAAAAAATAACTGTTGGCAAAATTGCGAGATGTGATTGAAATTTCCCGGGTCGGTCCCAAATTTTTTTGATTTTTTTAAAGGTAAGGTAAGCGTAACCTCATCCGGTATTGTTTATTATTAAGTTATTATAATTTATGGCCAACGCTGCAAGCGCAGCGTGACTAATTCGGACTCTTTCGGCAAGAGCTTTGGTGAAGGTCCACGTCTCTGATCCGTAAGTCAGCGCAGGGAGAACGATAGAATCGAAGAGCTGTGCGCGGGTTTTGTTACAGCAAATCAAATCGGTGGTGTTCTTGATTCCATTAAACGCTGCCCAAGCTGTTTTTTTATTCCGATTTCTAATGTTTGCTTGAATTTAATTCGGATTGTTTATACGTATGTGGATAAAAAATTAGATATGTCCATCTACAGTCTGAACCATTTTTCGTCCACTTTCAAACCATTTTTTTCCTTTTCGCACTTGCAATGTACTAAAAATCTAACAAAAATACGTTTTTTTGGACAGCGAAAAAGTTTTTCTTCCAATAAATAGTTGCAAGACAATTTTTTATCAAAATCAATCAGTGCCATTTTTTGATTGTTTTGTGAATCGGAATGACGTGAAGCAATCTAAAAAAATATTATAAAAAGGAAACTGGCCGGTGTGCCGGATTGATCGACTAGATATCGATTCACTGGTTCCGCTGTTCCGCTCGTTCTATCTCGACCTCGAATCAAATCGCCCAAGCCTTCATTTCGCCTGTTTCTTCTTATTCATTTCATTTGACTACTTACTTACTAGTAGTGGTTTCAATGTTTGGATACGATAGAAGATCTCGAAGAAATGTTCAGATAATTGCTCTTTGCTCATTCGTCCTTGCCGGATTTGGAATTTATTCTTTTCTCTTGCAGTATGTTTTTTTCTTGAAATTTTCGGTTTCTAGAAGTTTCGAAATTAATAGAATTCTGTCAACAATTTTCAGACGAAATCATAACCCATAACCAGTCCAGCAACTTCCCACGAATTTCGATATATCAAAATACTTTCTGTAATACATCGTAGAGTTTATAATCAAACCCCATGATACATACATGGCAGAAAATTTTTGTCGGGGTCGCGCGAATGCGAAAAATGCACGAAATGCGAGAAAAGTTTATAAATAACTTTTTGTGCGCGGTGTACAACTTTAAACTCCTTTTATTGTTAGGCCCGTAAATTTACACTTCTGGTTTTGCGCCAAGACTTTTTCGCAAACGCTCACCGCAAAAAACAAGCATTTTGTTAGGGTTTTGTGGAACATAACAATTTTTCCACGAGGTAATTTAAATTTCGATTCAAAGTGTTGGGATTAATGCAATATGCACAATGAAAAACCTGTTCATCAAACTACGTGTAAATTTAAAAATAAAGAAATAAAAGAAATGAGAGTGCTCGTTTTTTCGCATTTTAAATCGATTCATATTTTTAATATTTTATATATGAATTCAGGTATGCGAATGAAAGTGATGTTGTGAATAAATTTGATGAAAAGCAAATAATCGAAGTGGCTCAATTAGTCGAAGACGGTAATCCGAAAACTCAAGGTTTGCATACTTCGTCTGCGATGTGAGTTACAACCATTTTTGTAGAGATGCGTTTGAATCGATTGAAAGATCCGAGAATGCGTAATTTGAAGCATATCGGTATGATAAATTTACGATTATATCTATGTAGTTAAATAACTCTTTGATTTGAGATGAACAGCCACAACATACTGCTGAAACATTTTACGACGAAAAATTGAACGAAGCGAGGAAAAATATGAAATTCACAAAAAGCCCACCTAAATGTATGTTTCTCAACGTGGGTAAATATAATCGTAAATTATGTATATTTTTTTCTTTCGACATTTTTGCATGTTTTCATTGCAGTTTTTTTGTATTTTGTATAATTTTTCAACACTCTTGTCTTTATATCCATTGACTGATCGTCCGCTTTAGTTGTGGCTTGAAATCATGCCGAATTCAGGCTTTTCGACGATATAGTTTTATTTAAAGACGTTAGAAAAGTCTGAATAATCATAAGAGAACATATTTGAGAGAGAGAAAAACTCAAACAATTCAATAATTAGTAGTCCTTCCATACTTCCTTCGAATCACTTCACATATTCGATTTTGCATTCTGTCGGTGAGTTTCACAAGATGGCCAGGTGAAAGACTGTTTCATTCCCTTTTAATTGCGGCTTTCAGCTCATAAAAGGTTGACATACTGCTTGTCTTCAGTGCGCGTACAGTCTGTCGTTTTCAACTTATCCAAATCTCTTTGCTCAAAGGAGAAAGCTCAAATTGACAACTCAAAATTCCAACAAGACAATGAAACCATTCAAAATGAGCAATATCACATTAATTCGTTTTCATCTAAGAAAGTTAAGCTTCTGAATTGATTAACCAGCTCCCCAGACTTCAATCCTATCGAAAACGTCTAAAGACTTCTTGCACATTCCGTATGTCAGAATTTTATGAGCTGAAGGTCGCAATTCGACGGTAATGAAACAGTCTTTCAACTGGCTACCTGGAGATATTCACCGACGGAATGCGAGACCAAATTCGTGTAGTGATCCAAAATATGGAGGGACTGCTAATTATTGAATTGCTTGTGTTTTACTTTCAAATATGTTGTTCTGTGATTAGTCAGACTTTTCTGACGCGTTTTAGTCTTTAAACAAACTGTAAAATTTGTGAAAAATTATTCAAAATACAAAAGAATAACAGCAAGAGATATGCAAAAATACTGAAAGAAAAGACACAAAATAGAGGTAGTGTATCCTAATGACGCGCTTGCAAATCCAACTTTTTCAAATCCAACTTTTTTGCTAATTCTCCTTCAGGTCTCCACAATTTAAGACCTTTCACGGGGCGGCTTTATAAACGTGAAACGGTTGCAAGTAACCAATTTTCAGCGTTTTCACTTGGCCAATTTTTTTTTGATATCATTATGAAAGTTGGTACAGATATGTATTTTTTAGCCTTGAATTCAATTTTAAAACAGAATTTAAACATTTTCACAATTGACCAAGTTACACCCAAAAACAGGGGTGGCTCTATAAATGTGAAACGAACTGTATACAGTGCTGGCCATAAAGAAATCAAAACGTGGTTTTTTGAACATAACTTTTCTAAAAGTAGTCCAATCACTCTGAAATTTTTGGAGTGTGTACGCAGCATCATTACGCACAAATGAAGACAACAAATTGCATCAAGCTTGAAAAAAAAATTTTTTTTGGGATTTTTTTTAATTTTTTGATTTTTTGATTTTTTCACACTTTTCAAATTACCAGCCATAGTTTTTTATTGTGCTGTATATTCAATATTTCAAGTTGTGAATATGTTTGCAGATATGGGTAGACGTCAAGGAGCAAAAACAACTTCTGTAGAGATTCAGAAAGCCATCGTCAACGGCTTCAAACAAGGGACATCCGCGAAAATGCTTGCTCAGCAATTCGCCCTATCCATTTCAACTATTTCGCGAATTCTAAAACGATTTGATGAACAGGTAACATTTTTAAAACATATTTGAACAATTGTAAATGTCTAGAACAAATGCATTGTTCGAAAGTCTCCTGGAAGACCGCGTGAAACAACTCGAACTATGGATCGCAACATTGGTCGGACCGCTGTAGAAGACCCTAAGAGAAACGCAACGGTGATCCAGATGATTGTGAACTCTCCAAACGATCCATCACCATCTAGAGAACCATTCGTAGACGTTTGCAAGAGATGGGGCTCCATGGGCGAAGGCCAGTGAAGAAACCATTCATAAGCCTTAAAAATCGAAAACATCGAGTTGAGTGGTGTAAGGCTCATCTTCACTGGGGACCACAAGAATGGGCAAAGCACATTTGGAGAGATGAATCTAAATTTAATTTGTTTGGGAGTGATGGTCTTACATGGATTCGCCGCCCAATTGGCACCAGGTATCAGCCGAAGTACCAACTTCCAACGGTCAAACATGGGGGTGGTTCAGTAATGGTATGGGGATGGTTCTCCGCGAGTGGT